CTTGAATTATACGTAATATAATATTTCTTCTACTTAGGACGTTCCAATAATTAATAAAGTAACAATTAATACATCGAACACTACACTGAGGCGATATGTATGCCAAAAATAGTACGCATTTAACGTAATCCTCGTGGTCCCAGGGGTGGCTTCAAAGCCTTGGTTAGGGGGGGGGGGGGGCAAGTTATAATTTTACAAAATCTTATAACAAAAAGAAAACAAAAATTTTTAAAATTCGCAAAAATATCAATAATATGATCTATTTGATCTAGAATATCTACTTCATGATATACATTAATTAGACATAATGCTGATAGTCTATCTTCACTGAAGATTCTTCAGTCACCATTGAACGAAGCCAGGTTTTTAGTCTCCGAAGTGTGGAGAAACTTCTTTCAACTGTCATACCTCTATGGCTCTATCTACATACTTGTGCGTGCGTATGATAGTACATATTATAATATGCATTTTTTGTTAACAATAAACATTTTTTTATAAATACAGTACGGGCTTGGGAGGGGGTCACGGCCCCTAAGGCCCCCCTGGAGCCGCCCTTGCGTGGTCTGTGGACGACAAACTACAGCGCATTTTTGTTTTTCTGTTCGGACGTGTACTCCAGTTGAATGTTACAAATTTAGCCATTCACATAGACGCTTTGATGTTGACCGCGATGTATATTTTTTTCTACAAAAAAATTATGTCTTTAATGTAAATATACGTGTTATTTAAAAAAAAGGCCCTCTCCACTATTATACAATCGATATCATTCTACAATATGCCAATCATCAACAGCGGCGGATTGGCCCACCGGGATACCGGGAAAGTTCCCGGTGGATCGTTAGTCTTATTATAACGTTGAGCCGATGTACTTGGATTAAAAATTATTTTACAAAAATAATGTATTTAAGTATATTGTATTTAATTGTAAGATTGTGATGTAAACAATTCTATGAGCATTTAATCCATGAATAAAGGAGACTTTTATGGAAAATTATTATTTTTGAATGGTGGGCCGGTCATACGGTAATTTCTTGGGCCGAAATATTTTTAGCCAATCCGCCGCTGGTCATCAATCAAGTGTATCAAAAACTGTAATTTTGTTTCCCTCCGTTTCAACTGGATCTATGTAGGTATATTTGAATCGACACACATTCGAGTTGGATTTGTATCATGCTTTGCGTTCGTGGCTGTAATCAAGGGCGTATTTGAGAGGGGACGAAGGAGGCATTCGCCCCCCCCCCCATGGCTCGTATTTTTTTTTAATATAATATGTACATTGATTTACTTAAAAAATGTAATATATAAATAATTAAGAACAAAATGATTACTTTATGGCAAAAATTATTTCCAAAATCATTTCGAAAATTTTCAAGACCCAAGTAAGTTAGATTTTCTGAGTTAACAGCCAAGCTTTTTCTTAGACTAACTGCATCAAACAATAATATTCCATGCTTGTCTTTTTCAAGCATACTCTCTGCCTTCTTTTGTAATAGTTTTATTATGTACGGCCGAATGTTAATCATGTTATCATTGTAACAGAAACACGAGCTATATAAGTAATGAACTGTAAATTAGTAAAACTCTTAACTCAAAAACGCCCTTGGCTGTAATTTGCACGAAGTATAATAATATAATAGTACACGGCGTGGCCCGTCTTGATCGTAATTATTCCTAAACGCTGCGGATCGATCGCGATTGCTATTTTTTCGTTCACGAACGAGTTTCTAATATTATCATGCAGTACACACGTAATCGTCTCACAGCCACCGAGCCACGAGCAGTAAGTGGCGAAGCGAACTTTAAAAATATAGTTACGAACAATTCATTAATTATTATTATTTATTAATGACCCACCCCATCCCATCAATCGATTCAGTGTTAGGTTCATAGCAATTTGACTACTATCTTCCAATACACCTAACCATTTATCAATAAGTGATGACGTCACATTCTACTACCCATCCCCTTTAAATTTCAGAAGTAACTGCTTCCGAAAATCATGGTTCGCAACGCCACTGACCACGGATGCCCCGAGCTGGCTCCTACAAGTGTGTCGTAGGGGTACAACAATTTTAGCGCTCGCGTAAAAACTTGGCGTGCGGTTCGCCGGCCAAACGTGTGTAGGGTTTCCACTTTTTCGTGCGCGATGACCGGAAGTTACGGCGGGAGAGTACACGCGGCACGCGATTGCGCGTACTTCAGTACGTCACAATGCGTGTGCGGTTTAATTCGTTTCGGTCGTTTTTCGCGATTTCGTTAACGCAGCGATATTGCTATTAATTGCATTAGCCTTAAGGCCGACACGTATATCGTTCGTTTGATTTATGACTGTAGCGTCGGTTCCGTCTACTATGTGCATCAAATACCTGTGTGGAACAAGTGAGAAGAACCTGGTGGGATTTACCCGATTCCCCGAACGCAGGCGGATCATAACTGTCTTTTTTTAAGACGAACGTTTCTTTTTTTTTTTCTGTTCCCATCACAAATCGTCAACAGTAATAATATTTACTCTGTAACTAGAACGACTTATAGAGCTAATATACCAATATGTAACAGTTTAACAATGATTCAACGTCTCATACGTGTACAGTGGCGGCGGGAATAGTTAATTTATGAGGCAGCTGCCTCGTGCAAAAATGTGGTTGGGTATCCCAATCACTCTAGGACCTAGACAGCTAATTTATAATTTATACTCACAAAGTCACATACTACCTACATACATAGGTAAATATTAGGTACCTACTCTACGTTACATTATAGAGAAATTCTTTAAATATAGAATAAATGGATTGTACTGGGTAAGGAGTAACATAAATTAGATTGTTATAAACAGTATTCACTAATATTGGATACAATTTTCATAACAGTACCCATTAACTTAAAAATACTTATAAATGTTATTGGTGAAAAATAACCAAGTTATGATATATTATGATATATTTTCTGGTACCTGTCTAAAGATGGAAGGTGTAAAATGTTTCAGTTTGAGTGCATGGTCAAAATTAATAAAAACGAAATAAAATATTTTACGATTAGTATATTCAAATTTAAAATAAATTATAAATTGTAAAACTGAAACTGGTTACTTAAAAGTTGAAGCGTTTTAAATTAGAATAATTATTTTTTTAATTTATTTTTACCAAGCAAGGTACACCAAATTGCAAATTTATAATTAAATATACATTACAAAATATGTACTTTTATCAATTGGTGGTGTAGAGGTTAGCTAAACATAAGGCAACTCAAGACACAATTTTTTTGCAGGTGGTAGAAATTATTTTTTTATCATCTTTGGATTGCTGTAATTTACCGTACATTTCGGAGGGTTGAACCTAGGTACATTTAAAATGTGTGAAAAGTAAAATGTAAAGTGTAAACAAATTGGTGGGCGGGTGCTCATTTAAGGTAGTTGCTTCGTAGGAAAAAATAGTTCACGCCGCCACTATAAGTGTACCTATATGGTAGCCTCATGGAGATGAGCGTATTTAGACATGAATTAGACATAAGTTATTAGGTATTAGCGTGTTAGAATAAAACTTCGAACGTGTTCTTGTACTAAATAAAAGCTCAAAAGTTTTTGTCACTCTAAAGTTAAATGTTAAAATCATTTTACGAATGTTATTACTTTCAAATTATTAATCAAATAATTATAGTGTATATCATTGTTATTAATTTGCATTTCTACTTTAATTGAACTGTATCTTAAGCTCTAGATACATTACTAGACTTACGGGACTTATAGGAGTTTGCATATTTTTCGATAATCATTCGAAACGTAGCTAAGTTACATGGACATTTTTTTCGTAGTACTGAGAGTTTAAAGCAATCATTTATATTTTACATATTTAGCTCTTTTTTTTTTCTATAAGTGTATATTTTGTTATACTTGTATTTTAAGTAAATATTTAAACTAAAAAAAAATTAAAACGATATATGACATATATGATAATAATTTTAAAATTACAAAGTCCACAAGGAAAAAAGGAAATTTTATTTATAAAAAAAATATAAAACTTACTGTCAAAAAATATAGGGTTTAAAATATTTTTTTACATTTTTGAAGGAATAGACAATACGATGAAAAATCTTAAAGACTAGCAAATCAACGATTTAAAGTACCTACTATGAATTCACTTCAATAACATCTATTAAAGTCAATAATTCGTTTTCAAGGTATATAAGTTTATTAACAATTGTCGTGCATTTACATATGAATATATACAAAACATTTTGTCATTGACATTGAATTTATTTTAGTAAGATTTTAAAAATTATTAAATTATAAACACAATATGCATTTATAATAGACATTTTTGGTCTTATTTTAAGATGAGCTTAAAGAAGAAATTAAAATAATTAAACATAATCATAAATAAATTTGTAATTTTTGGTTTATTTATACAGAATAAAATATTTTTAAGAGCATAAATACATGCATATTTTGAGGTCTTTTAGAGCATGAAGTCTCTAGCTCTATACATTACTATAGAACACTCAGCTTAAACGGCTTCATCTTATAACCAACAATTTTAATGGCTAAAATTAAGTATATTAAAATAAAAAAATTAAATTATTAATATTCTTATTTAGATTTAAAATTATAAACATACTGGTGTGACAATGTTTTTTTTTTTCTAGATTTTTCATTTAAATACTTTATAAACCAGTATCTAATAACTAATAACATAACAAGTTGTATGCTATGCTTCAATGGTTATGAAAATCAAGAATATATTAGAGTAATAAAATATAAGGTAAATTTGTTGCAAAAATATTTTTTAACTTATAACAACTGTAACAATATTGATTTAACTACTTTTTTAGCTAAATAGTTAAAATTGTTAAATTTTTTCTTAAGTTTTTGGTTATCTTACAGTAATAAAATAAAAATAAAAATTTTAAAAATGTCATTTATTGAAACAATTTAAATAAATGTAAAGATAGAGAAAGAAATACAACTATTACTTATAATTTAATAAATAATAAAAATATAAAACTTTACAATAGGTTTTAAATACATAAAAAATATTTCTTAGTTGAATAATGAGATTTTTAAGATTCATCTTCACTGACTAAACTGTCAGTATCCACTGAAGACTCTTCCATACTTCTGGGCAATGCAATTCTGGCATAATCATCAGTATCAATTGATTTACAAAAATGAATGGCATACTTGAGTTTTTCATTCATTATATCCTATTATATTTAATAAAATAACATTATAAATATTATTTTTATTTATAGCTTGATTTTACTACTTACTTTATTGGTATAACGAGGAATTTTCAAAAGGAAAAAACATGTATAGCTTTCAGGCAAAAAATTATCTGCTGGTGAATATCGATCAATAACCTATAGAAAAATGTTAATAAAAAAAAAAAAAAAAAATTAAGCAATGTTTAATTTTAATAATAAATAAATATTTATTAATTACTTGTAAAACAAAATCTCTGCCACGAAAATGTTCAATAGTTCTTGGTAGTCTTGTACGTCCCCAAACAAACCTTAGGAATAATGATCGTTCTTGATTGGTAAATTCACTTAAAATTTCCCAAAACCATTGCACTAACTTATCATGAGCTTCAACTCCTATGTCATAATTTTTTAATCAAAAATAAATGCATTCAAGAGTTTTTTTTTTATTAATTTACCTTTGTATGTGACAATACTCAACAACATATTTATGGGTATTTCTGGTGATCCACACACCATGGCTTCTAACTCGTAACTTGTAAATAAAGATAGTAATGGCACTGGTACAACTCTTGCCATACCATTTCGCACAATTTTCACTTGTTCATTAAACTCATGTAATCTGCAAAAATATGGGTATGATAAAATGTAATTTTAAAAATTAATAATAATCATTACCGAAAGTTTAAACAGGATTGTATGTATTCATGTTTATTATACTGGGTCACATGTTTATGTTCAGTGCTTAAAACAACTGTGCAACCAGTAGAGGATGTAGTACAAAATGATAGATCAAGGTTTGTAAATTCTTCTTCTCCTTCCAAGTCTCGAATGTACAGTAATCCTATATGAGATTTTTATTAAAATATTTTAATTATATTCATAAAAATAAATGCTCTAAGAATTAAGTTACCAGGAACATAGTCTTTATCAATTTCAATTAAATCTGTAGGCAAGAGTTTCATGCCACACAATAGTTTCCACATGGGTTCAGCAAGATTTAAGCTCAATGGACTGCCAGTACGTATTGCTATTCCAATTAATACACCTGTTTAAAAATAATTAAAAATAATTGATTCATTAGTATTTAATTCAAAAAAATATTAATCTACTCGTTTATATCATTAAAATACTGTACAATATTAATTAATATTAATTATCAAAAAACATATAGTAATTAAGTTTATCAATTATAAAAGATCATATTTACCAAGAAATTCAAACATTTTCATATGCAATTTGGTTGTCGCTGATGGGTTTAATATAAAACAATCTCGACTAGTACCGGTATCTTCTCGACCGTTAGGTGTTTGTATTAATATTGGTAGAGATCCATTTTGAAGTTCTTCACAAATTTCAGCTATACTTTCACTATAACCACCGCCATAATCATCAACACTTTCACCTATAAATATATGAATATTGTTATAATATACTTTATTAAATATTACTAACCAAAAGATTTTTTATTTTATTATTCAAAAATATAACACAACTAATTGTTATACCATTGTACATACTCAGTACAAATAAAACCTTATATCTATTAAGCAATTGGATTCATAAATATTTCAAATAACATACCAACAAATTGAACTTTCCATATACGATGATACAGGAATAAGGAATCTTCATCTAAAAAGTCCATGTTATTCACCATTTGTCCAAATACTGTATGAGTATAATTATGTCCAGTGGATTTTCGTGTTTTGCGTGTTTTAATTCTATTTAATTCAAACATTGGTCCATGTCGTTGTTCTCTCACCATGGATAACTGAAGTACCTGAATATGAATTAAAATATTAAAACTGTCTTCATATTTTTTATAGTAACAGGCAATAAAATACTTTTTTAAAAATGCCTTCTTTCACTGGATACACCATATATGGCCGTATTGCATCTAGACTTAAGTCTCCTTGTATTGGCAAGAATAATAAAATAGTTTGGTTAACTATGGTTGAGAAATGATGCAGAAGTAGTAACCGATTTCTCAATTCATTTATACTGAATTCTTGTAGTAAATCATATTCCAAAGGTATTATAGATGGAATTGCATTTTCTTTATAAGAAGCCTCTTCATTGGTCCATGCAAATGAATGAGCAGATCCACAACTCACTTTTTGAATGCGTTTACCCTAATATTATTATCAATATACTTAATTCATACTATTTAGATCTTAATTTATTAGTTTAAATCAATTTAATTTCAAACAGAATTAATTGTTACAAAATTAAACATTCACAACTAATTTATTTTTTACTTTAAGAGCAGCTATAGGGCGAGGTCTTGATATGGGATGTGCTGTGCCATCACCTAATTGACCCTCATCGTTGTCACCCCAGGCATACACTTCTCCATCATCGGTTAGTGCTAGTACATGTAATGATCCTAAATAATAGATAAATTATAAATAAATATTTTTGAAAAATAAAATTTATTAAAACCTGTAGAAAATTGAACAACTTTTTTGCCTTGAAGTCCACTAACTGGTTTTGGCTTACGCACATGATCATTGTTTCCATGGCCAAGTCTAAAGTAATCACCTTTACCCCTACAAAAATATACTAAATAATAATATTTCAGTAAAAAATTAGAGTTTGAAATAATTTATTACCATGTGTATAATGTTCCATTTGATGACAATGCAACTGAGAATTGTGATCCACAGTCAATTTGAATAATACCTTTGCCCGAGAGGGATTCAATTTTGCAAGGAAACTTATATGTAAAAATATTACAGATAATTATTACATATATTGTTTTTAGAAGATTTATTTTCAGTTTTATTATACATACTTTACATGATTCTGAAACATTATGTCCAAGTTTTCCATAATCACCATCTCCCCATGACCAAACATTATCATCTGAAGTGATACATAATGTTTGGGCATCTCCACTTCCACAAGCTACTTTCACAACATGATAGCTCAATAAACTTTGAACCTATATAGACAAACCAAAATTTTTTTTATCACACTATTATTCTAAACCGAATTTCACTAAATTTACATACAAATTTTGGGTATAAATAATCCTCATAATCGCCATGTCCTAAACGCCCGTATCGTCCTTTACCCCAAGTATATAAATGGCCATAACGAGAAATTGCAGCAGAATGAAAACCACCGCAAGCAATATCAACAATATATTTACCATTCAAACTTTGGACTAATTGAGGTTTCGAATGGGAACTATAAAATATTAAGTGTTATTTAATTAAGAAAATAATTTAATGTAAAATTAATTAAACTTACACTCTATTGCCAAGTCCTAATTTTCCATCATCTCCATCACCCCATGCATAAATTTCTCCATTAGATGTTAAAGCTAAACAATGACGACCTCCTGAATTGACAGACACCTTAGAAAAATTATTTGAAAATCAAAATTAAATTTTATATATCTATTGAATAAATATTTAATGATTTAGCGTTTAATACCTTTATAATATTATTAAGACCTAGGACAAGTTGAGGAGTAACAACATATGGGTTTTTGGCATTATAAGGACCAATACCAAGACGTCCGCTTTCAGTATATCCTAAATGTTAATATTTATTTACAAATAAGAATATTATTATTTAATATAATAAATAATGAAATTGTTGTTCGCATACCAGATGCATACACTTTTCCATATGAAGTAACTGCAAACATAGTTTGCTCTCCTCCAATAACTTGAACAGGCTTTAAAAAAGACAAAGAATCACATGCAATTGGTTTTTTTACTTGACTAGACTCCAAACATGAAAGTTGACCTCTATGATTATGACCCCAAACATATACAACTTGACCATTTCCACCCCAAGCCATATTCCAATTATCAGGTTTACTTTGAAAAAAAAAAAAACATTAATTTTATAATTTATAAGATCATGCATCAAATCTACTTACCTATTCAACCACTGTAATAACTGTTCATCATGTTCTTTTGTAAATTTTAAGTTGTCTATAAATATATGGTCATCATCTCTTTTGTAATTCTTATCAATGCATTCAATTTTTTTATGCAAATGATTAATAAAATCTTCTGGTAATTGTTCTCGATTAATCAAAGCACTTGCAACATCGCTGCCAAAACAATAATCAACAAACCATGAGGCATCAAATGACCAACTTTGGAAGTTTTTATTTAGCCACTTCATCATATGTACTAAAGACTGCAATAAGATTTTTTTTAAAAATATTTATATCAATATTATTCAAAAATAATTTTGCTGTTAATTAATAAAATTATTTACTTTAAAATATTCAGAATAACAAAGTTGCTTTCCAGATAATACAGCTGTTTCTTCGTATTCAAACTGCTTAAACATTAAACGTTCAGTACGTACAAGTATATCAGCTATATTACCTTCTCCATATGGCAAAATAAATAATTCATATGCCAGGTTTTGATTGTTTTTGAATATTCCACTTAGATTATTAATACACCAAATTCTTTCTTCAAGAGCTATACCATATTATTTTAAACATAAATACTAAATAATATTAAAGCAATAATAAATAATTATTTATACTCAGTGTAGTTAAATGTAATGACATCATTAATGTTATAGTAAGACGTTTAGTAAGCGATATATCATTATGTCGCTTAAGACATTCGTGTAATAGACTACGAACAATAGGTAAACAAGGTCTAGAAAGTACTTCACGATCAGTTCCACTTTGTCTTGTTAAAGGCATAATTGGATATACAACAAAACGCCAGCCCCAACCATTTACAGATTTGTCACTCATAAATTTCCAGTGAAGTTCATCACCTGATAATTTTATTAAAATTAATAAGTTGTTCAATTTATTACAAACTTAACCCATTTACGGCCAATATGATTCAAAGTATTTTGGATACAAAAACTATCTTACTTCTAAGATGTAAAATAAACATCATATAAATGCAAAATCAATTGTTTATGATTATTTTTTATGAATTATTGTCTTTTTAATCAAATAATGACAATTGAATTAAAAAAATAAAATAATCTAATAAATAAAATTATTAAAATAAATGTTGCATACACGTCACTTTGACCGCTGATAGGTTAAAAATATAAAAAAAAAAAATAATTATTGACTATTAGTTATAAATTTAAACTATTTACCTAGAATGAATAATGGTGTAGCCCATTCTGTATCTCTTCCTGATCGGACACTGATAACATTTTCAGCACCATCCATTAATGTTAATGTGTCTTTGAGTTTTTCAGTTGAACAGTTTTGGTTGAACTCAATGTACAAAGCAATTGCATCTAATGATAGAACATATTAACATTTTTAGTTTCATTTTCTATTATAGATGTATAGTTTTTTCCACCAAGAAAATAATTTAACTAATAATCTTAGCTCACTTTGGTTTATTGAAAACTATTAAGTATAAAAAAAAAAAAAATATTGAAGTATAAATAAATACTTGGTATGGATACATATCCAGAAAGATAAGAGTCATCTGGATAAGGATGAGAACTCTCCTGAACGGTGTGTTTTGAGGGTGGTGATACTAAGAAAGAACATTGAGAATAAATAGTTTCCATTTCTGACACACAGTATTCTAATAATAGTTTTATATGCTTGTTGGAGTATATGAAAGCTGTAAAGTTAGAAATATATTTACTATCAAATTTATAGTAATGATACATTATTCAATATATAATTACAAATAAATGTGTTTAGCAAAATATATTCTGCGGTTGAACCAAGTCTATAAACAGAAGCTAATTTTGCTAAGTCCAATAATAGTCTGATATCTTTTTCGTTCAATGTGTTCAAAAAGCTATCAACTGTTTTAAGAGCCAGTAACGATGTATCATTTAATCCAATAACCTGAGGAATGTTTTTAATTAGAAAATAGATACATTATTTTAAACAAATTGACTAGTTTAAGTACCTGATTTTTTGATTTTATAGTTGCAGCAACAATTGACATAGTGTTGGTAGCTTTTGAAGACAATGTACTAGCTGATGTAGTAAGAGAAGATGGAATTTGTAATGAGTTTTCTATACTATCTGGGGTTATTGCACTGCTCTATTATAACAAATATGACAACATTTAAAATTTCAAAAATATTGTTATTTTTTTATTCTAAAATATTTATACATACTAATTGGAAAAGATTTACATCCACAATCGGAGCTGGTGCTTCACCTCCACCTTGATCTGATTGAATTATTTCATGGTTTATATTTATATCTAAAAATTGTTAATAATTTAAAATTTTCTCAAAAATAATTAGTAACTAATTAATAGTAATAATGTACCATCATAAGAAGGTGATGATAGGGCTGCGAGTATAATTTCTCGAGCTAAAGTAATTCGCAAAGCATTCAAAACATGCTGAAGAGCATTTTGTTTAGCTGCAGCCGAGTCTAATGATAATATAGTTCTTGATAAAGAATCTTTTTCACAATTGTTTTGATAGTCTTCAATTTTCATTTTAGTTTGAGCATTTTCATCTAATAATTAATAGTTTTTAATACTTAGAAGTTCATTAAATTAATAAATAAAAATAAATACACACTTAAAACTGTAGCTCCCATTGAATCTTTGATGCGAGCAAACTTTACTGGTACATCAGACATTAATAAGGGTAATTCAGGGCATTTCCATGCAATAGATTGAGAAGAACCACAGCCAACACGATTAATTTTTATGTTATTGAAATTAGTAACTAATTTTGGTTCTTGGTTTGCTTTTGTTGTACCATTTCCTTGTTGACCATGATCATTATCACCCCAACAATAAACCTAAAATGATAATGAAATTTAAAAAATGCACTAATTAATATATATAAATAATACATACTGAAAATAATATGATATTCAAGTATTAAATCTCACAATCAAATAATTTTTATGATAATACAACTTACATCTCCTTGAGTAGATACAGCAATACAATGTAATGTACCAACAGCAATATGATCAATTGTAACCAATTTCAGTTGATTGACAAGGGTTGGTCTTCGTACATGTTCACCTCTACCTAAGCCTAATCTATAATACTCTCCCTTACCCCAAGTCCACACCTAACATGATAAAGAAAATAATTATGAAAAACACATACATGTACATAATAATAAAAATAATAATCATGTTATTTATAAACACATATGATATTATTTAAGATAATGTTGTTTTACCTGGCCAGTTGCAGTTAGTGCAACTGAAAATTGGGCACCGCATTCTATTTGCACAACTCTGTGTCCAACTAATCTTTCTACTTTTTGAGGAGTACAACAACCATCACTTCCACCTCTACCAAGTTTACCAAAATCACCATCGCCCCAAGAATAAACGTTACCATCATAGTCTAGAGCAAGAGTTTGAGCATCTCGACTCCCACAAGCCACTTTAATAATATTTTTTCCAATAAATTCTTCAACCTAAAATTTATTTGAATATATATATTTCAAAAAAAATATCATTATAATTATAAATAATATAAAATTAATAACTTACAAGTTTTGGGGTATATTGGGATACTTCATCACCATGTCCTAATCGACCATATTGACCTTGACCCCACGTATATAGTTCACCATCAGAGGTAATTGCTGCACTATGAGCACTGCCACATGCTATATAAAATACCCTTTTGGCCAGTAATGTCTCAATTATTTTTGGGGAATCCAAAGTAAGACAATCACCATGACCAAGTTTTCCATCTTCACCATCACCCCAAGATAAGACCTATAGAAATTATACAAAACTAGTATTTTTTATAAAACTTAAGTCTAAACCATTATTTCTAAAATTTATTAAAATAGATGCGCATTATCAAATTTCTATGATTATTAATGCTACTATGGATTTATGTATACTTTATAGGAGTTTGTAAATTTTATGGGTATATATACAAATTATGAATGTATTTTCAACTTAATAAATAATGTTAAATTTATGGTAAAATTCTGGTCAAAAACTTAGTAACAACCGATTTTGCTTTTATTCAAATATTTATAAAAAATGAACAATGGTTTTGAAAATGATTTTACTTTAAGAACCAAATTAGTTGCCCTAGTTACTCCATCCTAAATCCCTTTCACATTCCAAAATGTATCATAAGTTTTATTTATATTGTTTACAATTTGGCACAAAAATTTTCTTTTAGGGTGAGCTAGAATTTTTTGAATTTTAAATAATTGTTGTCTATTTATTTTGTTTACTTTAATAAGATAAATTAATCAGTCGTGTTCACGCAGTCGTAGCGTACAGTCCTGTCACTGTGCGTTCCACTGATAAGTAAATTCGGTCTTTAATATTTCTAATTCTAATTAGTGTTCTCAAATGTCGTCGACCTCGGGCGGCAATAGCCGCACCGGTCAAACCCCAGCCACAACCAAAATCAAGAACACAGTTACAAAAATCCTGTCTCAACTCATGGATTCAGCACCATGGGGAAAAAGAGTAAAGTACTTAATAACACCAATATTCCAGTTTCACCTAGTTTTCTAATAATTAACGAAAACCCGCCGATATTAAATACATCTCACTCTACTTTTACTTTCAATGACGTAATCGATAACATTACTATGCCCGATTAAAATATTATACTTAATGATAATCAAACAAACACCGGTCGTTAGCTTATCTACAGATAGAACGCCGTCGTCTCCATTTACCAACACTGATATAGATATGCCCGCAAACAACTATAATTATAATAATCTACTTCATTCTTTTACACCAGACTATAATGGCCCCATAATTCTACTCGCCGAGTGCATCGATCAAAATAAAAACATGGGTAATTGGCATCCTATAAGCGTTGCAAAATTCTTCACCAAAAATGTTATTGGTATCTCAAATATTAAACCAGCCGATTCCAAAAAGATAAAAATTACTTTTAATTCCATCATCAACGGCAATAATTGCTTAAATTTTGATATTGCACGCTCTAACGGGTTTAACGTAAATATTCTCAGCAGCCTCATATACTCGTACGGAATTATTAAACTAGATAATAATGTTTCCGAAGAATTTTTCGAGGGTCGTCGTTCATCTGTTACAATAGAGGCATTCAAACGCATCTCTATTCAGAAAGATGGAAAAACTATCCAGACTAGTAGAACTGAAATTCATTGCACCTAAAATGCCATCCGTCATTTCTATCTACAATACGACATTCGAAGTTATGCCCAGCATTCGTTCCCCTGTCCAATGCAACCGTTATTTAAGATTCGGACACACCCAAAAATACTGCCGTAGTGAAGCTAGATGCAGTCATTGCGGTGAAACCAAACACTCATTAGATTCGTGCCCTTCCGCACAAGCCACCGACCCGATCTGTCTGTACTGCAAACTTCCTCACCTAGCCACGGACCGTTCCTGCCGGGAGTGGTTACTCCAAAAGGATATTAAAAAAATCATGGCGACAGAAAATATATCCGACAAAGACGCGTTAATATTTAAGAAAAATAAATGTTACACACCAGCCTTTAAATACTATGATATTGTAAACAGCCAGTCTCATATCTCAGAAAATATCGAAATCGACACTTCTCTCCAGAATGATCACTTTCCTAGTTTAAACAATTCCCACCATTTCTTCAATAATAATATATATATATATATAACTCTAATCCATCTCAGGTGTACAATAAAAAAAAATATTTCTTACCTGTTGATTATTCTTATACCGCTCCAAATGGGAGTTACTTAAGTAATTCCAATTGCCAAATTAAGTCACCTAGTGAAAACGATAATGACTTTTCCTGGATACACACCCTATCCCTCAAATTATCCGAATCTCTTATAAACGCACCTTCACTCTCCTCTCCTTTTTCTCCGTCATATCTTCAGAACCTAATTAAGTCTTCACTAACTTCCCTCCTTGCCGTTCCAAATTTTGTTACAACCGATTAGATAATTTCCATAGTATCATCGATCCTATAACTCATAATAACTAAATTACCTAACATGTCCCAATATTTCAATAATAAACATTTCACTAATAACTACAATATACTGCAATGGAACGTTAGAAGTCTTACAATCCGACTTCTTTCTTTACAGAATTTACTCACCGTTCACAAATGTTCCATAGCCATTATATAGGAAACCTAGCTGCTTCCTTCACGTACTTTCAAATTACCAGACTTTAAAACCTTCAGAACCGATCGACCTGATGGATATGGTGGTGTAGCCATAGTCATTCATAATTCTTTTAAAACCAATCTTATTCCCATTAACGACATTACCAAAGATAGACTCTCTTATCACAATATCAACCTCATCGGAGTAGAGGTTTTAGGACCAGATTCTTCTAATCCTTTAAAATTATGGTCTTGTTATATTCCTAACAATATAAATGTTCCTATCAACCTCTGGGACACTATTTTCAACCTAGTTACGCGAAACTCTCTACAATGTGGAGACTTCAACGCCTTTCATCCCGCATGGGGATCAAACTCATTTTCACGTGGTGGAAATCATATATACAATATAATCGACTCCCTCGGCCTCTGTATCTTAAATGACGGCAGTCCAACCCACGTTGGGGGCTTAAACTCAACTTTGGACCTCTCCATTTGCTCTCCCGATCTTATTTGGAATCTATCATGCCGCATATTAAGTGATCCCCATGGCAGTGATCACATCCCGATCATAATAAAATTAAACTCAAGTTCTACCACTAACACATTTCTCTCCACTACCCATTCTGACCTTAGCCAATATAAATCAATATACTATGATTTCAATAAAGCCGATTGGGCAGCCTTCTCCCTCCTAATACAAAATTAATTTTCCGCCCTATCAAATAATATATTCTTAATAATGTCCTATTCATCTTTCACTAATATTATAACTAATTCCGCTAATGCAACAATACCCATCAAAATACTAAAAAAAAAATATTTCCACCCTCCCCTCCATGGTGGAATCCTACATGCACGGAATTGGTCAACAATAGGTCCCTACTTTTCAGAACCTTCAGACGTACCGGTTCTAATACTAACTTCCTTTCATATCAAAACGCTTGCGCCCATACTATTCGTACCCTTAAAAACGCCAAGAGAATAATTGAAAACATTTTTGTTCAAACTTAGTACCGTCCAATTCCATACAACACCTCTGGTCTGTTGCTAGAAGTTTTAAAAATTTAATTTTATAATATTATTATAAATATATATATTATAATATTATATTATAAAATTAATAAAATTTTATAAATTTTAAAAATAACTCCCCCAATTCGTCCCGACAACGAAGATTTTTGTTCCAAAATTGCTCCCTGTTACGTTCCATCCGAATCTGAATCCCTTCCTTGTTACGATCACGATGTTTCTCCTACTCATATCCTTACTAACAATTTCAGTATGTCCGAATTAAATTACGCTATTTCATCACGCGAATCCACCGCATCCGGTCTTGACAACATTTCGCCGGTTATGTTAAAACACCTCCCTACTATTGCATTAGAATCTCTCCTTGCCTTAATGAATAACATTTTTGCAACCCAACAAATTCCGCCCTCAAGGTGCTCCTACAAAGTCATACCAATTGCTAAACAAAATTACAAATTCTCTTTTCGTCCCATCTCTCCTCCGCATTATGCAAGATATTCGAACATATGCTCAAATCTAGGTTAGACTGGTGGTTAGAAAACAAATCAATCCTATTGGATATAATATTTTTGCTTTCAGGAAAGGAATGGGTACAACTGAATGCCTCTCATATTTAACAGGAAACATATACCACTCCCTTAATAACAAAGAGTTTTTTGTAGCTACCTTCATAAACATACGTGGTGCCTTTGACTCAATCAACATTGGTACTCTAATTTCATATCTCAAATCATTACACGCACCTCAACAATTCAATAATACACTGATCGCATTGTTTAATAAAAGAAACCCTTTTTTACTACAGGGTAGTTGTATAAGTCCAATACTATTTAATATTTACATGAGCATAATCGCTAAGCACCTGACTAGGTTGGGTCATAAGTGTCTTATATACGCCGACGATATGGTAATTTTTACCTCCAATAAGTCTATTGATCTTGCTATTACTCTACAAAATCAAACTCTTAACGACCTAAAAGTTATTCTGGACAAGGTCCCATTCGAAGTCGCCCCAGAGAAATATAAATATGTCATTTTCACCCGACGTAGATATCTAGATGCCCAAAATATATATTTCGATAATAATATTATCCCCCATGTTCCCAATATCACTTATCTAGGTATCACCTTAGACGCCAAAATACGTTGGAAACCACAAATTACCTCTCTCTCAGCTACTGTTTCCCGATGGTCCAACTTCCTCAGGTCGGTAACTAGTACCTGGTGGGGCCCCCCCCTTCTAGTTTATTAATGATCTATCGTACCCTCGTACGGTCCAAACTAGATTATGGTTGTTTTTTTTCGACTCAGCATGATGCTTAAATTTGAACAAAATAAATAAACTCCAAATCTCCTGTCTCAGAAATATCATGGGTTACCTAAGTTCAACCCCCTGCCCAGTTATCGAAGTAGAATCAGACAGTGTTCCCTTTAACATCAGATGCCGATGACTTGCCAGTAAATTTCTTTTAAAGCAACTTGCTCACTCCAATTATCTTATTTTTGACATGTATTACTCATTATTCCTCACTTGGCGATATGTTCCGAAGTCATTACCAATTCTCTCATTAACAGCTAACTCTCTTTCAAATTTTCATCAATACATTTTAAACTCAACTAAATTCCCTCTTTATGAAAAATCATATGAATCTCTACTTTTTTCTCCATTTGTTCAAACTGAAAATAATTTTTTCTCCTTATCTTCAAATGATCTACAAACCATGCCTGTACCGATGGTAAACAAAATATTCTCAGAATTCCTCAATATTAATTTTAGTGATCATATAATAGTATATACTGACGGATCTATCTCGCCCCTCTCGACAGGTTTTTCATTTTATATTCCTGAACTACTTATCTCTTTTACAAACAATTTACCCCCTTCTTCGTCTTCTTTCACCGCAGAATGTTATGCCATCATAGAAGCTCTAATACTTATATCAAGGTTGGCTCCGAATAATTATCTAATAGCTTCCGACTCCTTGTCTCGTCTATTAGCTCTCAAATCCAACCCCTTCAATTTCCATCCTTCTCCTCTAGCTCTCTGTATAAAACATATTACTCTTACACTTCATCAGTCTAACTATTTCATTCAATTTCTGTGGATCCCTAGTCACATAGTAATTTATGGAAATAAAGTAGCCGATAGTCTAGCCAAATTCACATATTCTTTAATTTGTCCTTCTCTTACCCAACTTCCTCATACAGACTTTACGCCCACTATACCTCATCACATTAAGCACCTCTGGTCCTCCCAATGGTCAAATCTCCCAGCAAAATTTGCTACTAGATATAAACATATAGTTTCCATTATTCCTCATAAAACCTGGTTCAACAATCTCCACTTATCCAGATCAACTATCATCCAATTTAATCGCCTACGCTCAGGTCACACAACCCTGCCTGCTCATGCCTACAAACTTGACCTAAATGACTCTCTATTCTACACCTTACACATAACAGAAAAGCCCTGTGATCTTTTTCACATTCTTTTCGACTGTCCTTCTCTGCACCTAAAACGCACTACTTTGTTTAAGCCCTTAAAATCCCTTAATATCTCCCCTAACCTATATTCTATTCTCAATTCTAACTCTGAAATTGTCTTTAAATTAATAATAACTTTTATTCTGGAGGCTGGCTTTAGAATTTAATTTTTGTAATATTATTTTTTTTTTTTTTTTGTATTCTTTCCCGATTTACTGTATTTGTATCACCTAATAATTGTACTTACAAAAACCTAATAAAAAAAAAAAATAAATAAATTAAAAAACAATACTTTTCCATCAAGTGACAGTGCAATTGCATGTTTTCCACCAGAATGCACGGCCACGGTTTTAATAACAAACTGGCTTAGACCAGGTATCTGTCGTGGTAAGCAAACTTTGCCACAAAACTGTATTCCAAGTCGACCTCCACTACTATCTCCACAAACAAAAACCTAAATTATAATAGATTTAATAGAGAATAATTGGTATTGATATAAATTTAAATTTTACTTTTCCCTCATTGGAAACAATAAAAAGGGATTTTGATCCACCAACAATTTCAATTGGCTTTAGTGCAGTGAGTGCTTCATTAAATGTTGGTCTTTTAATTTTTGATCCATTCAATCCTCCAAGCTGTCCCTTATCATTTAAACCCCAAACATATACAGCATATTCAGAATCAACTTTAGTTTTTGTTTCTATTTCAGGTTGTGGTGGAAATTCCTAATTATAATAAATTAAATAATAACTAATTAAAATAAGTGTATTGCTAATAATTACTAGTAAATACTAATGTAAAGAGCTTTTACAAAATAAAATTATTTGTTAATTATTTGTAACAAATTAATTACTTGTACAGAGTCAAATTGGGGTGTTAATGAATTTGCAACAAATTCTTCATGATCTTCTATTACTACATCAATTTTTAGTCCAGTTATAACACAAATTGTTTCGTTAGTACGCATTGTTATTTCAATACATTTATGATACTGAAATTATATTTATTCATTAGAGAACTAATATTTAATTAATTTACATGGAACATCATATAGAACTTAATATTAATAATAACTATAATTATAATATTAATTTAATCTTTTTCTATGATATAATAAAAAATATGCATATACTGAGCATATTTTTTATGTTAACACACCATTTTAGTATACATTAATGAAATACATACATTTTTGTTATTATAAATATTACAATTTTTTTGTTTATTCAATTAATGTTATACCTTATTTAATGAATGTAAAAGCTGTAAAGTGCGATCTAAAGAATTAACAATCACTCGATTTATTTCTTCCATCATATTAAAATTGTCTCCAGCATTCACAATTACAAATAATGGTTTAAATTTTTCATTTTCTTCATCCAGTTTGATTAGAAAAGAACGTATAACTATATTTGGCTGAAATTCCAATTTAATCCAATGCTAGATCATTAAAATAAAATAAAAAACAAAATTAAATAAATAATTATTAAATAGTAAGATATCCAAAAATAATGAATTAAAATTTATTTCATACAACTCCATTAGGATTTTCACTAGTCCAACAACTATTTGATTTCCAGTCAAATAAGTTTGATAGTTGATTTTCTTCTGCAGTTGAAGTACATTTGGCTATGAATTCAGAAATTTGTTCTTTATTGGGATGATTTGATAGTAATATAGTATTTTTATCTAAATATAAGTAAATTAATTATTAAGAATCAAGTAAATAAGGACTTAAATTAATTATTACAAACTTTCTTTTAGTTCTTGAGGTAATTTAATTTTTTCAAGTTTATTATTATCTACTGCATCACATGCATAGGACGAAGTCCCATAATCAATTAATTCTATATGAATATATCGTACCCAATACTCAATACCAATAGATTTCCACTCTACCTGTTAATTTTAATTTTATTATTAAATTAAATTTTGGATTTATTAAATTAAAAAATACCTTGACATTGAGATCATGAAGTCCTCCCTCTTTTATTACTTGAATAACTTTACCTTCACATCCAACTTTAATACTTTCATATTCTCTACAACAGCATACAATCATGCCTTCTTCAATAGCATATTTCACATAATTTGCATAATCATCAGCAGTGTCAAAATCATTTTGATGTTTAAATATTACTTTTTCATCAGAGACAGGCTGTTAGATGATATAATAACATAAGTATACTATGAAAATGTACACATTTAAAGAAAATATATAAACTTACATTTTCAGGACATTCTTCTGTTGCTGAAGACTCATCTCTATCTGAAAAGTCTTCATACGATGATAAAGTATCAGTAACATCTGATAAACATTCATTTCTTCCTTCCATTAATAAGGAAATTAATGCATCTAAAGATGTATAACCGTGAGCTTCAATAACACTAAAGACACTTTGTTTATTGAAACCCATATCAGATAATTGGGCTAATAACATATTTAATGTACTTTTTGAAAAATATTTTGACCATTTAAAATTTCGTACAGAACTAGATTGAATATCAACTGTTAAGTATTGAGTTATATTAATAACAGCTTCTTCTAATTCTTTTTTTGAGTATTCTGGTTTTACAGGAGATGGTTGAACTGCTTTTGATAATATTAATTGAAACAAGTTTTTAGACTTTCCATCACTTATTGTCAGTTTAGTAAGAATCTTACGAAGTAATACTTGATTTTGTAATAGAGCACTAACCACTTTCATACCAGCTAATAATGTTTTTTGATAACAAAGAAGAGACTCATTAACCATTTCTCCTAAAGATAAAATATGTGCAACAAAAAAATGTATATGTTAACATATGATACATAGATTGAAAAAAAATTAGTGCAACTATTTCCTACCTGTAATAGTTTTAAAACTTTGATTAGTAATAATTGCAGATAACAATGTTGTCCATGTATCAATCATAGAATCTGTTATAAAGTCCATAGACATTTTACAGCTAGAAATATGATCAACATCTTTGATGAAAAAACTTTCAATTTTTCCAGTATTGTGTAAAAGTACTTTCAGTTTCCCTTTTCTCTCAATATTCATAACAGAAGCTTTAATTAAAAGTACATAATTACTTAACTAATAACATTTTAAAATATATTACAATAAAACTCGGTGATAATAAATATATAAGTTCTATCATTTTGTATAGGAAATATTAAGCAATGAAAATAATTGCCTTATATATAAAGGATCGTGTTGTAATTCAATTGAATCTTATTATGTAGTGGAATCAGAAATATTTTTTAAACATTAAAAATAGATGTTTTTGTATTAATAAATTAAATATAGTTTAAAGGTTTGGGATTTTTTTTTAGCTATTAGAATTTATAGAATTATAAAATATAAATATATAAATACAAATTTGAATACTCAACAAACCTTCCATCTCTCCTTTAATTAATACATTTCCTCCAATCCTGGGTCGGTTATCAAAACCACCAATAATCATTAATGATGCCATTGCTCTGTATGACAAACCATGTAATTTCTGAAAAAAAAGTAAAAAATACTTTTATCAAATATTAATTTAGTATTTTTACTTACAAAAACATTTTTTTCTAGTGATGGATTGGCCAGATAATCTGTAGCTGATATCAGATTTAAAACAATTAGAGAATCAAAATAAAATTTCAAATCATTAGTATTGTTTTTTTTAATGCATTGGTTATTATATAGTGTACGCAATAATAGAATACATTCTTCAGCAATGGTGTTCATACATGAAGCTGTTAAAGGCACTGATGGTTTACCATCTTTGAAAACAGATATGCATTAGTATACATTTGATAATTAAAAACTATATACTGTATATAAACACTATTTACCGATAACATCATATTTTGAGTTACTTTGTAGTACTGATGAACCAATAACTTCCATAAGAGTTTCAACTACAGATTTAACAGTTGTCAAATCAGTTATTTTAGATGTAACCAAAATATTAATTAATTGTATAGTTTGAACCTTTAATAAATTGAATAAGTGATTATACAAAATACATTTTTTTCTTAATAAATTTTTTTCTCAAACCTGAATGGTCAAACTGGAAGTTACTGTAGGTGAATGAGAAATAATTGATAATAGCATGTCAATCCATTGTTTACATGCAAATTGCTGTTTATACTCATCAGATATTTTTGAAATTATTTTTAATAGAGGAATATTAATCCATTCAGAATGAAAGAGTATAGCATTTGAAACATTTGAGCTTAAATAGACTTTCTAATGATAATAAATAATAAATTAAGTTACACAACCATACACATAAATATTAAAACAAATAATTTCAATTTCATTTTACTTCTAATGTATTGTAATAATATTTTGAAAGAATTTGAATTGAATTTTCATTTTTAATCGAAGTAGTAGCACTAGACAATGCAAGACAATTAAGAAATTTTATCATAACACATTTGAGTATATCAAATGGGTTTTCTGTAGAATTTTCATGAATTTCTGAAAATGTATTTTTTAAGTTTATTTTTAAACAATAAATTATAAAATAAAAACTGACCACCATTATTTGTACAAGAAACATTACAATCAGATTCTTCTTCATCTCCAGCATCCAAACCAGGTGCTAGTTTTAGGTCAAATTTCCCTTCTTTACCCATTCTATAGGAGTTAGAAACTCCATGATCCCAAAGTACTCTAATCCAACCATCATCACCAATTTTACTAACAATTTGACCTTCACCAGGAGGCAAACCATCCTATGAACATTAAAAATTCAATACAACATAAAATAACTGTAATAAATGTACAGTGAAAACTCTTTATAACGAAACCAGGGCCGTCCCGAAAGGGGGTTTGGGGGTGTCTCACCCCCCCTTCCCACTAATGAAAACACCAGTCGACAATCGGACTTGTTTCATTATAGCCTATGAAGGTCCTAATTATACTTACGGAAAACCAATATTACATATTTTGGAATACAGTGTATAGACGAATAAAATTTATATAACTACTTATTATACAATATAACATATTATTAGAACCCGGATTTATATGCATTTGCATGTTTGTACTAAGTGTATGCACATCTATGGAGGTTTGAAATGTCCACGATTCATATCACACCAAATTTTATATTGCATATTTTGTATATTTTAAGAGTTATTGCATATTTGTTCATAAATGCATATAACATGCATATTTAATGGGTTTTTAATAAATTATCTATTTAATTTACAGTAAATTTTGTAATCTCCTCGAATAGAGCACGAATTGAGATGATAAGTATTAAGTTTAAAAATATTATTTTAAAAGATTTATATTTTTTTTTAAGTTTTCTATTTGTTTTTTGACAGTAGGCAGTGGCGTAGCCAAGGGGGGGGCTAAGGGGGCTATAGCCTCCCCCATGGGCCGTGTTTATATGTATAATGTATCTTGACTATTTAATAGAATCAATGCTCGTTTTAATCAAAGGCTTATTGATGTTATGCCACTTGAAGGATTTATTCCGGCCAATTTAAATATGTATGACGATAAAAATATTATACGAGCTGCTAAAATATATGTCCAAGATCTCCATGATGATACCTCATCTACAATCAGGGCTGACCTGTTCATATGGAGGCAACAATGGAGTCAAAATACTATTCCAAAACCGAATTCTGCTCTTGATTCACCCTCTCATCGCACCAATCTCCGACCTAACATTAAAATACTTTTACAATTATTCGCCACGTTACCAGTTACCTCTTTCACTTCGGAAAGAACGTTTTCAGCACTTAATCGCTTAAAATTTTTTTTAAGAAGCACCATGTCGGAAAACAGACTGAATGGGTTAGCTATGGCTAATATAAATAAAAAAGAGCAATTCCATGAAAGTGAAATAATAACTGAATTTGGCAGAAATTCGCCTAAGAGAATGCAGCAGTCAGAGTGGAGCAAGTGACTGAACACTGAAACCAAAATTATTATTATTATTATAAATTATATATTAATAAATATTTTTAAAACTATACTAAAATGCTTGAATTACGTTTAGAAATTTGGGGGTGGATGGTGGGGGGGTTAAGGATGAATTCTCATATCCTCTCTTACCTTACTTATCCAAAAAAAGTGGTTAGCCCCCCATTTAAAAATCCTGGCTACGCCACTGACAGTAGGTAACTTCAAACGATCTAAAATATTTATAAAATCTAAAATACCTACTTATTTTTAGTTTTTTTATTATTTGTATTTTCGTTTTTTTAGTTTAAATTATTTGAAACATAAATCAGTGGATATTATAACTTTTTTTGGTTTTGATAAAATAATTAGAATTTTATTTGGTATAAAAGTGTGGTTTTCAAAATAAAAATCACATTTTATAAAGTGTAACGTAATGCATATAATTGTATATTTATCCACTTTTTCTTTTCATATTTGACATTTTTTAAATGCATATAAATCCGGGCTCTACATATTATAATAATATATAATTAAATTGTCAATAATAAGAACGTGCGACACCGAAACATATATACATGTTAAAAAGTAAAAATACGAGTACATAAAATTAATTATACTACATACATTGAGTAAAAAAATTGTAGTTGGCATTTTTCATATTATTCACCCCCCCCCCACCTTGATTTCATCTTCGGGACGGCCCTGAACAAAACTCTACAACGAAAAATTCTATATAACATAAACATTACATAATAATGGTTGGTTTGCTATATAACCCATTAGTCAATTCATTTTCTATAACGTATTAGTCACTCTCGAAACAATATTTTATGTTTCATAATACAATTTACGTGTTATTGTACCTATTACATATATAAATTATAAAAATAATCGGCAATAATGCAAAATTTCCAAGAACGATTACATTCTTTCATTATCTACTTTTAATATCGTTATTATCGATATTGAATAGTATCATTGAATAATATCATTTTATTATCGACGCAATGTCTAACATTATATGCATGACCACAGTAGTGCGCTAACAATCGTTATGGCAAGTAAAAGAAAAATACTGTGTGTTGATCAAAAAGTCGTTTTAATACGTGCGATTGAAAATGGTGAAAAAAAAGTGATGTCGGGAAACGTTTTGGATTCAGCCCATCTACTGTCGCTACTATCAGGAAGAATAAGGATAAAATATTGCAGGCTGAAACAGAAGGAAGTTCTTGTAAAAAAATAAGAAAATCGAAATTTGAAGACTTGAACTAGGCCATGTTAACGTGGTTTCATAAATAATTTTGTAATAATTTACCTATATCTGGGCCTGTTTAGAAAACTAAATCTGAACATTTTGCTCAACAACTTGGTTTTATAGATTTCAAGGCCTCGGAAGGATGGTTTGGAAAATTTAATCAACGTTACAATATTACCTATAGGAAAATAAGTGGAGAAGCACATAATGTCGACTTGAATGTTACTAACAGCTGGTTAATTAATGTGTGGCCAAAATTGAATGAAAATTACACTTCGGATATTATTTTTAATGCTGATGAGACAGGTATTTTTTACAAAATGACCCCAGATAAAACATTAAAATTCAAAGGGGAAAAATGCATGGGAGGTAAACTTTCTAAAGAATTGCGTTAGGTTAGGTTAACTAACCTCATTTCGTTTGTAGCAGCCAATATGAGTGGCACTGAAAAAAGAAAGATTATGGTAATAGGCAAATCAAAAAACCCACTATGTTTTAAAAATATTTAACCGTTTGCCAGTCACTTATAAAGCAAATAAATCAGCGTGGATGATATCAATACTTTTTGAAGAAGGAATAAGAAAATGGAATGCAGAATTAAAGGAGTGAAAAGTTTTGTTACTAGTGGATAATTCTCCTGCTCATCCCAATCTATCTAATCTTATGAACATAGAAATTATATTTTTCCCAGCTAACACAACTAGTGTCTTACAGTCAATGCACCAAAGTGTTATAAAAAGTTTGAAAGGCCACTATAGAAAGAAAATATTAATGGAAGTTATCGAATCTGATGGAAATGCCATGGTCATGAAGTTAGCCCCCCCCCCACTTTGACCGATTCTCTTCAGACCACCACCAATATTTAGCAAATTAATTGCAAATAATTGCAAATCAAGTGTCACAAATCAAAAAATAGGTTTGGGGGGGGCTAACTTCATTCAGCCCCCCCAATTTGTCCGATCCGTTCCAAACCGACGTAAATATTTAGCAAATTAATTGCAAATAATTGCAAATTCACTTTTAAAATTTGCAAATCAAAATTGTAATTTTGGTGAATTTTTTTGCAAATTTTGTCAGCCCCACTTTGTCCGATATATTTCAAACCGACGTCAATATTTAGCAAATTAATTGCAAATCAAAATTATAGTGTAGGTAAAATTGTATTTGTATTATATATTGTTAAAATTTATATTAATTATTTTCATAAAAATTAAATTATAATGATCAAAAAGGTTTTTTAAAAATAATTAATTGAAATAATGTATCTAGAAGAGTAATAAAACTATTTAATAATAATGATAAATTAATATACAATTTATGCATTTAACTGGAATTATGTTAAATCACTTACAAAACTGCCGAAGCAGTTGTTAATGTTTTATTGGATATATTTACCCTTTTTGGGGCACCACTATATTACAAAGTGATAACGGACGAATAATGACGATAACAATAAACTAAAAGATTTATCAATTATTATCAATACCAAATTGTATTATTCCACTTAGTTTTACGGTTTCCATTTTTAAAATTAATCTGCAGTGGTATAATGATATTTAAACAAATTTAACAAATTTAAACATTTAACACTCAAATAGTCAAATAGACCAAGTTATGTTCCTCTAGAGAGAAAATAATAAATGAAAATATTTTGAATGATATGAAATAAAAATGTACAATAATTAAAAATAGCCCGATATAAAATTATGTAAAAATAAATATAGAATTATTAATGCTATGTATTGTTGTGTAGAATTAAGTATAGTTCACAATTATTATTTTAAGCAATATAACAAATTAATATAAATAAACTGGAAACTCCAGTTATCGACGTTAAACAATTGCATAACAATTGAATCGAAATAATTTTCGAATGTTGTGATAAAAATAGCATCTATTGTTGAAGACGATCCGATAAAGCATGATGGTCTAGGAAATGACCAACACCTATCTTCTGATCGACAAGGCGACGCCGGCACGTTGCACAATACATGATGAACCATGAGCCATGATTATATTATTATGGACCAAAATTATATACAACTAAAAAGTATTTAAATCCTATGATGCAAATATAATGCGTAATAAAATTACAAAATATGCAACAATATTATATGCATAAACAAATTTAAAATGTGCAGTAGGATAGGCTTTTATTTAATATTTGATAAATAATAATATTAAGGTAATTAATCAGTATTTATAAATAGATTAGATAGTAAAGCAGATCTAACTAAAGGTCTGACCCACGTTATTACTTTATTTTTTTAATAGCAATTAGATATTAGAAATAATAGAAATATTATTTTCGATTAAAAACAATTTGTAAATGACAATCTAAACTTTAAGATTAATAAATTATTTTCAAATAATATGCAATATATAATTTGGTCAAAGTTTGATTTGAACCGGATATTTTAATTCCAGACTCTAGCTATGAAAAATACGAAATATATACAAGTAATGAGAACGAAAATGTATATCTGCATAAATTCATAAAAACATAAAATAGGTTTCCAACTATGAAAACTCAATTTTTAACATTTTTTAATACATTTAAATACATTTTTTTAAAACATATTTTAATACATTAATTACAATTATTGTATGATGATATTTTGAAGTCGATCGGACAAAGTAGGGGGAGGGGTTGACAAAATTTGCAAAATAATTCGCCAAAATTACAATTTTGATTTGCATATTTTAAAAGTGAATTTGCAATTTTTTGCAATTAATTTGTTAAATATTGACGTCGGTTTGGAACGGATCGGACAAATTGGGGGGGCTGAATGAAGTTAGCCCCCCCAAACCTATTTTTTGATTTGTGACTTTTCACTTGATTTGCAAATTCTAAAAATTAATTTGCAATTATTTGCAATTAATTTGCTAAATATTGGCGATGGTCTGAAGTGAATCGTTCAAAGTGGGGTGGCTAACTTCATGACCACGGCAATGCCTCTATCAATTGCTTGATTCGATGAACTTCTTAAGTAAAGCCTGGGAAGAGGTAACAGCAGAAACTATACGGCATTTTTTTTATCATGCTGGATTTTAAAGTTTTGCCAATACTGAAGAAGAAATAGAACAATTTAAGAAAGAATATGATATATCACTGAGTGAGTGGATTACTCAGTTCAATACTCCACATACTATTACTCCTGAGGATCTGCAAAACTATGTAGAAATAGACAAGAACCTAATTACAACAATATCATTAACTGATGAAGAAATCTTAAATTCAGTGACAAAAGGCGAGGAGGAGCAAAAGGTTAGGTTAGATGAAGATGAAGAGGAAGCACAACCTGACGAAGTTGTAATACTAAGTATTCAACAAGCATTTGATGCGGCTAAATTATTAGAAAAGTATTTTTTGTTTCATAAAGATGATCCAAAGTTATCCCAAAACATGGGACAATTTCAGAGAAAAATACAAAAACAATATTGGCAAAATAAAGAAGTCCAAACTAAGATGACAGACTATTTTAAATAAAGTAATAGTATAAAAATTAAATTATATTTAATATGTATAATAATAATAATTTATTATAATACGTAAATATAATATAAAAATTATGATGTGTTTGATCTATAATATTACATAGGTACACACCTTTATACATAAATAATTAAAATTTTGTTTTTTTTTTAAAACTCTATCTATAAAGAAAGAAATCTCTTGATCCCTTCAGATTCCTTATAAAGAGTTTTCACTGTATATTATTGTTTTTATCAATACATACTTGATTATCCCATTTCCAATCTTCACCACGAACAACCTTAGTACCTAATTTTAAGTAAGGTATGATATCAGCTCCTTGTAAACACTTAATTTTATTTAAATCTTCTTCATAGATAATTTGTTTTGTATTCATTTTTTCAATTGGCCGTTTTGCAGCAAGATCTAAGGTGTTTATAATAGAGTTAATGACTGATAATATGCTAGAATTTATCAACAGACTAGACTCTTTGCCATTTAAAATTTGGGTTATTGATCCAAATGTTGCTATAGCAAATCTAGAAGAAAAAAAATTATAATATTTGATAATGATCTTATATTATTTATTATTACCGGCACCAAGTCATTTTTTTAACAGTCGCTACTTTATCTCGAATCCCTAAAGATTTTTGAATTTCTCTTATTTGAGAAACAAGCAATTTAATTTGTTCTAAAGCACATCTCATGAAATCACATTTAGCAATTAAAAGTTTCAGTTTATAAGTAACTGATACAAATTCAACTTCATTATTGTTTCTAAAACAGTAGTATAAGGTTAGATTATATAGGTTTAAGATTTTTAAGTAAAAATTACCTTGATATATGACTATTAGGCAATACAGACAGCCAGCCAGATATAATACTATACTTAACAGAACTAATTGAGGTAGGAGTTTTAAATAATTTATATATAAGTTCATAACCAGTTTGTATTAAATTACATCTATCAACCTATAAACAAAATGTTTTATTATTATTTTTGAGCTTTTTGATTAGGAGGTTCAGACAAGTGAGGTATGTGTGTATGCAGGGGCGTATTTAGGGGGGGGATGATATGGGTGTTAGAACACCCCCCATCGACCATATTCTATGGTATTTCATTACATTACAAACTTACTTACAATATAATTTGAATAAATGTTGTATACAACTTGTCGATTTTACATACACTGTCTTAATACAATAATTTTCATTAGTATAATAGTTTATATAAATACATGGTATTTATTTATGTAATATAGGCAGGGGAGCAGAGCCTCCTACTTACCGTAAGTCTATAAAATTTTAAAATGCCCCCGTTAAATGAATTCTGGATACACCACTGTGTGTATGTATGCTTATGGCATGGTTATGCAAACATTAATGGTAGTTTAGTAGGTTAGTTTATTAGATATGAGAAGAATTTATTGAGTATAGGTACAATGGTGATTATTTCTCTTTGGACAGGACAAACATTTGGAAAGTAAAACCACTGTTCGACCGTTGTGCATAGTATTAATAACCATAAATTACAACTGACAGCTCTGCATTATTTAAACATAGTCACTGTAGCCCTCATGACCATGGTATCCTAACCTATATATTAGTTATAAGTAATATAAGTAATTAAAGTTATAAGTAATTTCAAAAATTGATGTTGGGGGACATTTTCATATATTACTGCTATAGTAGTAATACGAAAACAGCCAAAAAATGCTAGAACTACTATAGCAGTAATTTTTTCTATGGTCTCATATGAAAGTGCATATTGTTCTGCTTCAATAAGTTTCAAGAAATAATCGGGCACTGATAAAATAAAGCTAAGCAATAATTAAAATGGTATATTTATTTTTTCTAATCTATTTTAAACAAACAAACTCACATAACAGGTACATTAAAAAATAATCAAAAAAGAAACCCGAAAGAAGTAGTAAATAAAAAATTCAAAAAGGAGAACATATATGGAAATGGAGAGGGTTAGTTTACGTTTCAAAGTGGAAGGATAAACGAGATGTAGTATGTATCACCACTAATTATAAACCAATGATTATTTTATCAACAAATAAATACGGTCAAGTAAGATTGAAACCTTTAGAAATCATGAAATACAACAAATTTAACGATCAAATGTCCAGTTACTATTCATGCCCTCGTTAAAAAATTATTATTTCAATTACTATATATGACAATATGGGACATATTTATAAAAAATATTTTTTTCTCTATAACCTCAGATTTAAAGACTTCAGAGACTCTCTTATTAGAAATTTTATACAAACTCTTTCAGAGGTAACTTGTGATCAATTATTTAAAAAAATAAAACCCAAAAAATCAGACATGGTTATACCAGATAATGCACACTTCCAAGAAACAATCCCACTCCTACAGGATACAAAAGAAAAAAATTTAAAAACTGTGTTGTATGTTTCAAAAATAAAGATTGAAAACAAACTTAATTTCAGTCCAAAATGTGTAAGGCTCCTTTATGAGCTGGAAAATGCTTTGAAATTTACCACAAAGACAAAAATTGAAGAATTTATGTGTTTTATTGGTATCTATTAATAGACGTAAATCATTTTTTTTTTTTTTTTGAGATTTAAAATATATATATATATATATATATATGTACAAGAGATAAATTTCTGTTTAAAATATTTTTTTTTACTTTATAATTATTATTTTTAAACACATATTTGATTTTTTTTTTAATTATTATGTTATATATGTAATAAAGATTAATTTTAATTATTTTCAATCTAATAATATGTAAAAAATATAGTTTTGGCTCATAAAAAAAAACTTAGTTATTACTGCTATAGCAGTATTTTGAATATACTGACATACGTAATTCACATATTATGATGTGTAGGGGGAATTCTGCTATAGCAGTAATAAAAAAATAACATTTTTTGGATGTGTTTGTAGAAAAATAAAAAGACGAAGTGTCCATCAACGTGTTAAGAGAATGCTACACATGTGTTGTCTCTACATCCTATTATCAATCAAACATAAATAAAAGAATATTATTTGTATTTTAATAGTTGGTTTTTTATGATACTTTAATTTTTAAGCAAATTCTAAGTTTTTTTAAATTATAATATTACACATACTCAAAGCTCATTTAAATAACATAAACAAATCTATCAATAAATCACAAATAATGTTATTCCTTTTATATTTCACAATAAATTAGTTTACTTTAATATTAAAGCTAACAACATAATATATTTGAACTACTTAACATACATGTTATGTTGTATGTGTGTAAAACAAAGTATGTGAGTGTGGAGTATACATATTTTTATAATAATTTAACTTACTTCCGAACGAAGTAAATTTCTTAATTCTTGAATATCAACATTTGATAATATGAAAGATAAAATAGTTTTACTAATTTCCATACAATTATTTACATTAGTAATCAACTCTGTATCATTCGCATCTTTTATTTCTTCATTAAGTCCTTAAAATAAAATAATAATATTTATAAAAATCTAAATAAATCATAATATTTAAATATAGTATACCTTTTTTGAAATTATTTTTCATTGGTACATATTTCACATTGGACATTGAAATAATCTTTTTCTTGTCTTCCTAGTAAGGTAAAACATAATAATATTTAACATTAATATTTATAGTTACCTATTATAAAATATTTGTCTAATTATTTACTTCTTCATTTGAATTATTTTGAAGTGGATGATATTGATTTCGAGCTTTATGATTTCTAACATTTTTTTTTGTTTTTATACTTGAAACTACAGAATTAATGACAGTTTTCCATCGAGATTCAGCTTTAATAATAGGTAACTTTTGAGCAGCAATCACTTTAGAAGATATAATTGGGCTTAACTCATTAAGTAAAAACCTAAATAAAGTTTTTTTTATAAAAATAATAGTGTTCTAGAAGTATATAAGCAATTAATAAAATTATTATAACCAACCAGCAACGATCCAAAATAGGTGAACAAGTTTCTTTATAATTCAGATTCATATCTTGTTTTATTTTAAGGATTTGAATTTTAACTTGACCAAAAATTTTAAAAATGATCTCAAACGGTATTGATTTATCTGTAAAATGATAATACATCATATTTCTATGAGAATTATTCAAATAACTATTTTATATGATGTTATATTTTTAATAATCTAAAGTATTACCTCTATAAATCTAGTAAAACTTAAAATACAACTGAAAGAAAATAAAAGATTATGAAATTCCAAAAGTATTTTATATTAAAGGCAACGAGTTTCAAAGAATTAATATATATTAAAGTTATGATTTAAAATATACAAAGCATTTTTATTTAATAAATAGTTTTTGTATTTAATATATTTAAAAGCAAAGATACTTATGAATACTACTATAATGACCAAGGCTCGGAACTTTAAGCATTTGTATATTTGTCTGGAAAGTGCAAATTGAAATTCTGATTCAACACAATTTCGATTCATAGTATGTATATTTCAGATATAAAAGTTTTTGTTGCATAATTTTGCACATTTTGTTACTTTTTGTATCAATTCGCATATATTTGGGTTTAAGAATATTTATATGCATATTTCATGGATTTAATAACATTTTTTAAAAAAATGTATAGTTTAATAATAAAATATTAGATATATGACAACCAAAATTCTAAGTTCTTTATCGTTTGACAAAATAAATTAATTTATCAACGGCTATTATTTATATTGCTCCGGCTCCCAATGCACTTAACAATATTTTTATAATCTTTATAGTACCGGGAACTTGTAATAGTGACCACCGTCGGCCCGTATTTGTTCTTATACAAATTTACCACTGTATTAATGTTTTGTAACATGACAAACGAATTATATAACCATAGGTAATTCGTAAACAATTATGTTTAACCATTAGATTATCAGCTTATACACAATATTATTTCTGTTCGTTATAAAACTGTATACATCTGCATGCAAGTGACTTCATTGTACAGTATACACTAGTCAACAATGGCGTAATTGTGGGGGGAGGGCAAGTGCCCCCCTTTGACCATTTTTTGAGAAATAAAGGTATCATTTTGCTCCCCCCTCCTCCCCAGATAATCCAACAGTATAAATAGCACCTTTTATTAATGAACTCATGGATATTATTTAACAATATTGGTACCTAGTACATGCTACCTACAATTATTACCAACACTAAATGAAAATAATAATTGTTGTACCAAAGTGAGAAACAACAAAGAGTGTGGTGGACTATTAAAGGAATGTGAGAGAACGAGAAAAAACGAAACTCAGGAAAATTAATTTATTATAAATGAATAACTATAATAACTAAAAAAAATTCTAGTATAGGACATAGGTCAAATACCTATAATGTAGGTCGCACATTAGACCGGTGCCAATTTATGTTTATCTAAACCATAAAATGAGTTAAAAGATTTATGTGAAATCAAATAATTAGATATAGAGTATAAAATACCCCCCCCCCTCCAGGGGGGTGCTAGGTTATTAGCACTACGAGTTTGGCGAACCCGGGGCCCCGAGCTATGAGCTGATTTTAACTAGCTGGCTCAGTCTGGTCTTCTAGGTTGGGGGTTTGGCGATGGGCTAACAACCCGTCACTGTAAAAATCTTAATTGTTAAGGAACCAAAACTAAAGCCTCGGGACAGAGATCTGGACAAAACACAACGGAAACGACCCGGACTACAAGGATTCAAGATTGGCACTTGAAATGTAAGAACGTTATATAAAGCAGGAGCACTTAATACACTAGTCAATGTAATAGATAGATATAAGGTAAATGTAGTAGCGTTACAAGAAACGAGATAGCAAGGCGAAGGATGTATAACAACAGGTAACATGACATTATCCTATGGCGATGTAACTACAAATAGACATGAAAATGGTGTGGGTTTTCTTGTATACAATAGTCTAATACCATGGGTTAAACAATTTAAGGCTATTAATGACCGAATATATTACATCCGGATTAATATGAACCACCGAGACTTGATTATGATTTGCGCATACGCACCAACCGAATCAGGAAATGAAGAAGTAAAAGATGACTTTTATGAAGAGCTGGAACAAGTATATGATGCTATGTCAGGTCATTGCATTAAATTATTATTGGGAGATATGAACGCTCAAGTGGGTAAATAAAATACATACAAAATGACGATTGGAAAACATAGCTTTCACGACTAAAGCAACGATAACGGAATAAGATTAATTAATTTTGTAATTAGTAAAAATATGGTAATAAGCAGTACAAGATTCCCGCGAAAAAATATTCATAAAGAAACGTGGCTATCTCCGGGAGGCAGATTTAGTAGTCAAATTGATCATGTTCTCATAGAAAATAAACATAAGACGATTATAAAAAACGTCAAAAGCAGAGGAGCAGATGCAGACACAGACCATTAATTAATCCTGATTGACTTCAGAGTAAAGATGTCCATGGAATGGAAAAAGAAACAAAAAATACTTGGAAAATATGATGTGGATAAATTAAAAAACAAGGAAACTGTACGGACATATCAAGAAACAGTAGCAAATCTCTTAGGAAGATGAGAAGGTTTCGACAAAGAACAAACTGAAGAATCATGGAAAGTAATTAAGACCTCAATAACGGAATCCGCAGAAAAAGTTATCCAACTCACAGAGAAAGAAAATAAATAAATGGTTTAATGATAATTGCAATAAAGCAATTAGGGAACATAATGGAGTCAGAATCAAAGCAATACACACACCAACCCCAGAGAACATAAGGGACTTCGAGAACAAAATATGAGAAGTAAATACTCTGATAAGAAAAGAAAAGAGAATTGCAGAAAAAGAACAATTAGAAGACATCGAAAACCTTAAACACAGCCCCAGAGAATTCTTCAAACGTTGCAAAACATTTAAAAATGGATTTGTACCTGCTATACGGATGATAGAAGATAATAATGGTACTTTCATTACAAAACCGGAAAATATTGCCGAGGAATTTAGATCGTACTTTGAAAAAATCCTTAAGAGACTCAACAACAGGAATAGGTGAACAAGACCACACCATATATTACACAGCGGAACCAGAAGTACCAAATCCGAGTTTAGAAGAGATACAGTATGCAATCCAAATTCTAAAAAAAAATAAGTCTCCAGGAGAGGATAAAATTGTTGCTGAGTTACTGAAGTTAGGAGGACAAAACCTAACAAAAAACTTACATAACCTAAGTCAACAGATATGGACAAAGGAAAAGATACCAAAAGAATGGAATAAATCATTGATATGTCCAATTTTCAAAAAAGGTAGCCGAAATAAAGTCGAAAATTATGGAGGCATAACACTGTTGAATTCTGGATATAAAATACTATCATTAATTATACTTAAAAGATTGTAAATATACACAGATGAGATAGTGAGTAACTACCAAAGTGGATTCAGGAAAAATAAATCAACTACTAATCACATACTTGTCATAAGACAAATTATGGAGAAAAGCTACGAATTCACAAAGGATCTACATATGGTTTTTATAGACTACAAACAAGCCTATGATAGCATAGATAGAGAAAGACTATGGAAAATCCTTAAAAACTTTGGTTTACCAACTAAATTAATCAACATGATAAAACTATGTAACAGGAAATGTAAGGAAATATCCTACTAGCATAACAGACGATATAGTGGTTATTGGGAATTCGAAAGAGAGTATTCAGAGTACTGTTGAAGAACTGATGAAGATAGGAAAATATATTGGCTTAACAATCAATAGTGGAAAAACTAAATACATGATGGTAAAACGAGGAGGAGGTGATCATAATAACTTCCAAGTGGGAAATAACATCTTCGAACAAGTACAAGAGTTTAAGTACCTGGGGTCTACTCTAAATAATCAAAACAACATGCATGGAGAGATAAATATCAGATTGGACGCTGCTAACCGATGCCTTTATGCACTAAGAACCCTATTTAAATCTAAACTGTTGTCAAGAAAAACAAAAGAACATCTATACATAAGTTACATTCGCCCTGTATAGACATATGCATGTGCCACATGGGCAACGATAAAAGACGATGATGAAATACTACGTCTATTCGAGAGGAAAATTCTTAGAAAAATGTACGGACTCGTATTCAACAATGCGGAGCAGAAATGGGAAATAAGAACCAACACCCAACTATACCAGCTCTACAAAAGAGAAGATGTGGTACAATTTACCAGAGGGATAAGGATAGAATGGGCAGGCCACGTGTGGCGAGTCGATGGAAGTGTACTGAAAGGAGCATTGACTTATGTGATAAGAGGAAAGAGGCCAAGGGGAAGACCACGGAAAAGGTGGGGGGATAGCGTCAGGGAATTATTAGAAGAAATTGGAGGGGACTGGGAACAAGCATACAACAGAGAACGATGGAAGGAATTAGTTTTAGCGGCCAAGAGTCTAAATGGTTCGTGAAAAGCCCAAAAAAAAAAAAAGTTTATAAAATACATACAATAAAAATATGTTTTAAATGGTGAGGGGGAGTGGTGTCAGGGTTTTGGTAATAATAAATATATTATATTTCCCCTCCTAGGTTTTTTCCCAGTTACGCCACTGCTAGTCAGTAGTCAGTCTATTATTTTTTAAGCAATTATTTTTCAATTTTCTACTGCATATTATACCGCATATTTTGATATTTTTTAACGTATATGTATGCGCATATTTAGTACTTTTTAGCGCATAAAGTTCCGACCCTTGTTTATAACACAATATTTATAAATTTATTTAAAATTTGATATTTTAATATATATAAACACTGAATACTCAAATAAAAAATATAAATGTAAATTATTTTTGTAGAACTTATCACTATATTGAGTATTAAACTTGATTTATATATATATATTACTAAGTACCTACTTAAAAAGTATATTTTGAGATTATTACTAACCTTTAGCATTAATTTCAGTTTTATTTAAATTTAAATGTTTCACTAGTACTCTTGATAATATTTGAATAAGTTCTTCAACCGGATGATCAGGTCCATATTGTAAATGACTATCAACTGATTTACAATTTTCTTTATACATTAATATTAATATCTTTGCACATTCGTCCTAATTATAAGAAAAATAACAAATAAAAATATGTATTTAATAAGATACATTTATTGTTTATTATTTTATTTACATAATTATTATTGATGTCAATATCAATACCAGCTCGTAACAAAGAAAACCAACTTTGAAAATGTTGATAACTGGAATGGGATTGGGACAAAGAAGTTAACCAATGAGCATGGAGCCCCAACAAATAACCAAGAGTTCGATGAATATCTAAAAGCAGCGGTTCTGACAGATTTGATTCCATAGGCTAGATATAGAAAAAATATTTTATTATTTTATCAAAGTAAGAATGACTTACTTCAATAATATAATATATTACTATATTATCATAATATAGATATAATATTATAATAAATACCTCAAAAATAATTACTTACTTCAATAATATCTTCATCAGGATCCAAATAATTTCCAACAAAACAAGACTGCAAAGTTTCTTCGGGCATTTCAGCCAACACATGTTCATATATAGAAGAAGAATGTAGCATGGTAGAAAATGAATAACTCATTTCATTAGATCTAAAAATGAATTCATATTTTTAAAAATATGATACATATTTAAAAAATGCACAAATACCTAGTTTCTAAAACATCATAGACTTTTTTATTGTATACTACCCAGTGCCCTCCATTTCTATTATGGTTCTCTAAATCAGCCTTTCGAATCAATAAGACATCATCAACATTTTTATACCATGTATTACAAGTGTAGCCTATAAATAAACAAATTACCTATATATCATATAATTTAAGAACACTATTTATTAATTTATTTGATGTATTTACTTGAAAAACCAGGCCAAGACAAATTATCATCTTCTTCACGTTCTAAATTTGGAGTCATTGAATTAAATGTGTCCAAAGAATTAAGTAAAGGTATGAAAATATTGAACCAATCAATATTTCGCAAAAATAAAGGTGTTTTTTGATGGACCATAATTAAACTTATTAATAGTTCCATAAATAATTTGTCTAAAAGTTAATCGAAATAAATAAATAATTAAAGAAAAAAAACATAAATTTAATATAATAGAAATTATAATATATATATATATGTACCAAATCCATTAGCGCTTATAACTTTAGTAATAATTTGATAATGTTTAGAACTCCGAGAAGCTACATGATTTGCTAATTTAATAACTTGACAAGCACATTTGACAAAATGACATAAATACTTTGAAAGCAACATTTCAGATCCTTTATCCTCACCTATTCCATAGAATAAAATAAAAATTATTAACTTTATACAAACTATTTCTAAATTAGATATTTTATACACTTAAAATGTATGCAGTATAATAGTATGTTATGATACTTTTATACTGCATTACATTTTTACTAGTATGCTATGGTACTTGTAATAAATTTGAATAAAAATGAATATTATGGAAAAAACAAAATTAATGAAAAAAGGTATTTCTATAGTAAAAAAATTGTTAGTTACCTGATTCCCAATAGCATTTATTACTTTTATTATCTTTATTTCTTTTTCGGCGGTATATTGATAATATTAATAGTCTTTGAAAAGTCATAATAAATTTTAAACTAGGAGATTGATTGCAATCTTTTGTAGATACTTTAACTGTATTGATTTGCATTGAAAGACTTGAAAAATAATTGCTATATAAAAATTATACTTAAATTATTATACGTTTTAAAAATAATTAACTTTTTATATTTACTTACTTAAGTAACTGAGATACTATAAAACAAAGAGATATATTTGTTTCATCAAAATTGTGTGAAGAGATTCCAAAATTTTGAAAGTGTTCATCTTTAAAATTAAAGTTAATTTCAATATAAAATAAAATATGGAACTTTTTTTTTATGAACTAGGTAGTACAGTAAAACCTCGATAAAACTAAATCGCTTAGGACCATGATATTTTTCCGTGTTAACGGGATTTCCGTCTTGAAGAGGTTAGTTAATTGTATGTAATTTGAAACGTGACCAAATAAATGTTCCATTATACCGAGGTTTTCGTCTTTCTGAAGTTCCGTTTTATCGAGGTTTTACAGTATTTTCTTTAAATAAAAAACTAACGTTCAATAGCTTTTTGTAAAAATGTTTGTATGATATTGTCCCCTAATAAACTGTTTGTAATAAGATTAATCATGAATTCTTGATTGCCATTAATTGTTTGAGATTCATCTAGATGGGGAAAATAGTTTTTAATAATTTAATTTAAAATATAAAAACTAACTAATATTTACCATTTGGTGAATTTAAAGGTTGTAGTATAGTACATAACATATTTGCTCTTTCATTAGGAGTTTGAAATAGTATAAGCCATCCAATTTTTAAAGTATTTTGAGCAGCTACTTTAATAGTATTTATAACTTTTGAATTTGATGCTAATTCAGTAACTATTTGGCGAATGCTTAATAATAATTTTGAATTTCCAATGAGTCCAACACTCTCAGTATTTACATTATTGTTAATCATTGAATGAAACTATAATCAGAAAAAATATTTTTTTAAATACATTAATGTTCCCATTAAATCATAGGCGGAGATTTGACTGAATTTTAGGGGACTTAAGTCTTGTTTTACATAATGAGCCATGGGGGCTTTGCCTTCCCCCAATCACAATATTTGTTACAATACACACTAACTACTAAATTACTAAATAACAACTACTAAATATGTAATAGTAATTCCTAAGCATATTCCACATATTCAATTATATTTTGTGTGCACCATGGTTTAAATGGTAGTATGCGTTGACTATAGCTATATATATTTATTGCATATATATATATATATATATATATATATATGGGCTATAGCTGTGTCGATGCACTGTACATCTTCTAGTAAGTAATACCTAAATTATGTCTACATACATTAAAGAAAATATTACATTATAATGATTGTCAAAGTCTAATTATTGGACATTTTAATTTTTGTCATTGCGATAACAACAATCACAACCGGTGTGAGCTGATGAAAATCATGATATGGCAAAATAAATAATCCACATTTTTAAAAATGCTTAATGATTTTGGGGAGGCAAAGTCCCCAAACACTTCCCCTCATATCCGCCTATGTGTTAAATAATTATCAAGTTACCTGTAAAGTAAGTAAATGTAATACTGATATTAGTACACATTCTTGTTGTTGAGATGGAGGCCAATTAATACACATTTTGTACTCTTTAAATTCATTGGATAAAAGTTGTTCCAAATAATTCAATGTTTGAATTTGTAAATCTGTTGCGAATGGTGTAGATGTTCCAACATTAAATTCTTCAAAATTATACCAGGCAAAACACTTGAAAATGTAAATATGATTGTATGTAATAATGGTTCATTCAATATAAAAGATAAAATAGATCTTATAAATAAATAATACAATACAATTATTATAAAAGATCTACAACATAAAATTACAAAACTATTAATTTTATAGATTACACTTATCGTAATTTTCTTATTATTTTATCAATAACATTTAAATTTTGTTATTTTAAATACTTGGTTTGTTAGTAATTCAAAATATTGTAATTTTTTTATAAGATTATGCAATAAACAATTATGGCAACTATTGTAATCTTTCAAAGTCTTAAATAAGAAGAGCTTGAATGAAGAGATATTTCATTTTATTTGTAACAAATAAAGGTATTATAAGGTATCAAAGGTATAATAAAGGTGTTTATACCCAAATGTTTTATTAAAAATAAACTGAAAACTAAAAAATAATATTAACAAGTTAGAGGATTAACTATTATAAAACAAATTACCTGAAATAAAAAGGTTGAAAGTTTACCTTAAATATACAGAAAGATTCGCAAAATCCAACAACAATATCCATGAAAAGAACAATAACAATCTCACAAATTTTATAAAAGAATACAAGATTAAATTACACCATATTATAACCAAAGAACTAAATACCAAACCACCATGGGCAACAAAATATAAAATTATAATACAACTACAATTAACATATAACTTAATTATAATCCACTATCTAAACAAATAACTCCATATAGTTTATTCAAAAACTACTTAAAAAGCATCCTCGAAAACTACGAAGATCATCATGAAATATATTCAGATGGATCCAAAACACAAAAAGGAGTCGGATTGTCCATAATATTTCCAACAAAAAAGTACTATACAAACTATTGTCTAACTGTTCTATATTTAATACAGAAGCAATAGCTATCCTAAAGGCTATTGAGATCATAATTCAAGAAGAACACTTTAAGTTCATCATTTTAAGTGACTCATTAAGTTCGATAAAAAGTATTCAAAATCATTTCAATCCCGGAGAAATCGCATCAAAAATTCATAACAAATTAAATATAGCACTTAAATACAGCAAACAAATAAGTATCATTTGAATACCAGGACATATATAAATAAAAGATAATGAAATTGCATACAAACAAGCCTTTCTCGGTATAATCAACTCCGATACGCCTTTAATTGAACAAGTATCTCATGATGACTCAAAAAAATATATTAAAGAAATCATTAATAATAAATGGCTATACACCTGAAGCAAACAAAGCACCAAACCAAATTAAATAAAAAGAGACATACAGATGGCAAAATTTAAAATTTAATATTAATCTAAACAAATGCCAATTATCTAGACTTAATAGACTCAACTCTAGATAATCATTTTAGATGCTACTAGTCAACTTGTGTGCTAATGTCTCTCTTATTTTTATAACTATAACTAAGTATAACAAACTAAAAATAAACTCTATATAAAAAAATATTTAACAATTTTATATTTATATTAGAATAAAATAATGGTCAATATTTTAATATTGTAGCCTATTGTCAATAACTAAATAGTAATTAAATTATATTCAATGCATTTAGTATTTAAATAAAAATTGTATTTACTTGATTTGAACTGCAAACAATTTGTTTCACTTGCCTATTCATTAAACATTTCACTGGTCTACATTGGGTAGTATTTTCATTGTCTAACTGACCCCAGCAATAAACTTGACCAGTAGTAGTCAATGCTAGTATGTAATCATCTGCTAATGAAAGAGAAGTAACTTGTTTCCCTATTATAAATAAACATTAATAATTCAAAAACTAAATTTTTATTCGCTGATATAAACAGTTTTACATAACAATTACCACTTAAAAATTTAACTTCTTTTGGTCGATTAACACGAAATGAATTGTTGTGACCTAACATATTGTTGTCGCCTCTTCCCCAAGTAAATACATTATTAGCACAATCAATTACAGCATTTACATCATTATGACAGTATACTGATACAATTTCATAATCAAACACAATCATGCTGGGTATAACATTTAAAGACTTATCTTCACAATCTAATTAAAAACATTTTATGAAAATAAAACTATAAAGAAAAAAATAGGAATGGTTTAGGTTAAGACTAACTTCTATCAGGAATTCTATATTCAAATGAAAAGACATAGCCTTCTCTGGATAAAGCCAATGTATTATTAATAGATGCTCCACATGAAACATTAGAAATATGCCATTCTATTAAAATTTAATAAAAAATAAATGAGTATATAATTCTATTTAGTAACACACAAATTTAAATTAATAATATTTAATTATATTTAATCAATATTAATTTAAAATAATATGAAATTACCTGATATAGAATCAACTAATTCTGGAGTATAACAACAATTTCCTTGATTCAATACTTTACCCCACATGTACAATTTTCCATAATCAGTTACAGCAGCACTACAAAAAATTTTAATTCATACAATTTTACGGTATAAATCTTATAATCGAGTCCACAAATTTGTTTATTGTGCAAAAAATATACAGATTATAAATTTTATATTTTTAATAAAAAATAAATCTTACTAAAAAAAAATAATTCATAAAAATAAGTATTTTTAGATGAAACTTATACTTACAGTTATCATACTAACTATATATAAGTTATTTTCATTTAAATTTAAACAATAAGTGTTTTTTTATTTATTTATTTATATATATACAATTTTTAATTTTTTTTTTAACCTCTTTCCAGCATGATAGTACTGGTGACCCTTTCATTTTTCTATTAATTGCATAGTGATTAGTATTGCTAACTAACATATTTTTTCTTTTTTCCTCATTGGTGATTAGCGTTTCTGACTACCATAATAAGTTCATGTACCAGGTACCATGTGATATGTCAATGTTTGATATTAATATGATTTGCCGTCTTGTGCTGGAAAGAGTTATAGGAGCTTTGATAACTAGGGCTCTTAGCCCTCTGCAAGTGTCACATTGTATGGTATAGGGATAATTGGGTAAATTTATGTTGGAAAAATAGGGGTATTATTTTTCTCAATACAGTGGTATAGCTCAGAATGCGAAACTAAAAACTATACGCCTAAGCACAGTCGCTTTATTCCATTCAGTCACGATACATTGTTGCAAAACATAATTATTTTCAACATAAATACTATTTTAGAAATAAAGATACTGTTAAATAATTTATTAATAGTTACCTGAAATCTTTTCCACATGAAACCATTATCACTGTAACTTTAGAAAGTGCAAAAATTAGTTCTGGTGTAGAAAAAGAAGAATATTTTTGACCATGGCCCAGAGCACCAAATTCATTTACACCCCAAGAGTACACTTCTCCTATTTCAGATATCGCTAAATATGTTTCATCGTAAACATCAACATACTTCACAGGTGTATTCATAATTTGCTTTTCTTCAAAATTCTAGTAATATATAAATGTTACTTCTTAAATAATTTTTTGTCTTTAGATATATTATTTAACATAATAATTTAATACTTTATGGTATATTCAGTGCTCGACTTGGTAAAACTAATGAAAGGGGATTCTGTTTACTTTAAAGAAAATAGCGACCCCAAGATTTGTTAAGTGTTATAATTATAACATAATAATAGTAGGGAGACCCTAAAATTTCTGAAAATTAGTTGGGGTACTCCATTCCCCTGCGCCCCTCTCAAGTCAAGCACTGAGTATATTTTAAATTACCATTGAATCAATTGAATAGCTGATAAAATGTAGATTTCCAGTAGTTGTTACTACTAATATTTCATTTTTTGAACATACTACTGTTTCAATATTCAAACGTTCAAGGGTTGATATAACTTTTTTTTTAGTTTCAGGATAGAATGGTTTACCCCAATACTGTACAATATTTTGTTTATTTTTAATTTCATTGTTTTTTTTCCTACAATACATAAATAAAAAATTATTTCTAGTCATAATAATATAATATAATTGATATTACTTGAAGATTTAAATAAGTAACAGCTATTTGGTCTAAAAATGCTAAAACCATAACAGCTGTTTGTTTAATTCCAGTAGGTTCTGGATTATCAGAATCACTATATAATTTCAAAAAACTCTTTGTTACATTATCCTAAAATAACAAACATATAAAAATTGGTTAAATAAATCTTCTAGAGGTCATTAATTTGAGAATATTATAAGCGATTGCACCGCGATATAACACTGCTACTTTATTTTTTTATTTTTAGTGTGGATTTTAAGTACTGTAATATTTCATTTTGCATACAATATACTAGAAATAATTTGCAAATACATTTTCAAATACTTAAATTAACTAAACAACTTTATTTAAATATATTAAAAAAAAATAAAATTTGATTTAAAAAATTTATTTTTTAACTTTATTACTAGAGTACGAATTTTAAAGCAATTAAAAACTAAGGAAAAACACTAAAAAAAGAAAAAATTTCCAAAAAAGGATTGAAAATTAGTTTTTTTAAAAAAAATTTAATAACTTTTGGCATTTTTTGTAAATGACTAAACAATGTTACAACAAAAACTTAACTGTAATTCGGAGTAGATAATTTCCAGAGTAAGAGCATATTTTTGTATTCATTGTTATTTCAAGATAAATTAATCTATATACTATATACCATACCGTGTGTGACTAACTGAACACACACAGAAAGGTTGTCAAGAGATGATAGAATAAAATTTTAAACACATTATATAATATAACATTTCAAATATGTTTATTTAGAACACATTTTGAAAATATGTAATTTAATAGCAAAATTAAGTACTCAAAAAAATGTAAATATTTGAAAAAATGTAACTTAAGAACAAAAAAAAATGACCCAAAATACCAAAAAAATATTAATATATAAAAAAAGTAAGAAAACAAAATAAAAATGTCCTGTTTTTTATTCATAGTATATATCAAATTTGTAGCTGACAGCTTTGTTTTAGAGAAATAGAAAAAAAAAACAAACACCTTGAAAATCTATATTCTAGTTATTACTGTATTATTAAGTAAAATATAATTATTTATTTGTTTTAAAATTTATTTTTTTAATAAAAGAACAGAATAGAAATGTATTTTTATATTAAGTAACCATACTATACTTCTTTAATATCGTCGTAATCTTTATTACTTCATTATATTTATATATGTCACCAGCAATATGGATAATTCAGGTATTTTATAAAATACCTAGGTATTATGCAAAATGCCAATTTTTATTTAGACAAAGTACAAAAAATTTTATTATATGTTATATTATATTAAGATTCTTATAATTATTATATATTATTGCTCATATTACAGGTAAAATTAAATTTTTATCTATTATCAAATTATTACTATTATATATACATTTTAATTAAACTATTATTTACTTATTATAACATGTTGTAGAAAAGTGACATTTTGAAGTGTATAAAATATTATTTTTAAGGCAAATACCTACCCTTTTTATTTTGATACTTAGACTTGCAAATTATAAAAATCCTTGGTCAATTTTTATGGATTGAATTTTTATCAACTCGCTATACTGTTCATCAGATAAATAACTAGTATTAGTAGCTAAATTTTTAAAAAAATGTTGTAGTTTGTTATAAAAATTTGACTTATATAATATATAATATATATATAATATATATACTTATATAATATAAATTGTATCCATAGTTGCAACACCGTATGAGACACAAAAATGATGAGAAAAATGATGATATTGTAATAAAATTATCATTACATTCAATATTGTACCCAGAGCCGTGTCAAATATTTCAGCGCCCCGGGGCAAAATTTTTTCTACGGGGCCACTGGGCACAGGTAGCATATTAGGTGCAGATAAGGGCGTCCCCTTAGTTTTAAAAAAAAACTACTGAGCCCAGGGGCAATTGCTCCCTTTGACCCGCCCCCCCTTAACACGGTCCTGATTGTACCTCAGAATTATTATTATAGTAGTAAAAGTATATTAATATTTATTGCGTTATATAGACATGCACATTTATGATAAACAAGAAGTAAAGTAAAGTAATAAGCGATGTCCAATTTTGTTTATTTTCATCATATTGCCTACTTCACGTTTGAAATTATATATAATATATTATAATACCTAGGCAAAGCTCGTATTATGTATATTGCCGAGTGATTTTTGGCATTTTATATAATGCCTAGGCATTTTACAAAATACTGGATTATCCATATTGCTGGAAACATACATATATTATAATATATAGATTTATAGTTTAACACGAAAAACACATGATTTGTTTTGTGGAACAAATTATTTACATGCATTTCCATTTTATTTACAATGAAAAACAATTTTAGACACTCCAGTGTCAACTCCACACTGACATTCATTAATGTAGACTAATAACTGGTGACTCCATGTGTATAGATAAAATGTATGACTATTGCAATATGTTTAAAAATATATGTTGTAGGAATAACAGGGGATTGTCTTAAGGTTATGAAAACAGTTTTTTCCAAAGGTGCAGTGTAAGCATGGGTGCGACCGCTAGAAGGTTAACAAATTAACGCTTACAAGGAAAAAGAGAGTAAATATTTTTGCTGAAAATGAGCAATGAATATTTTGATATAAACTATTTTTTATTGATATTGTTGATAATTAATCACTAAAATTTTTTTTACAAATAACTATTGAAGTTTAAATATTAAAAGTAACCATCATTTATTATCAGGTATGTAATTATTATCGGGAGTAATACTATCCTATAAAATTACAATAATGAAATTTACGTCCTTTTTCTTTGTAAACGTCAATATGAAAATGCAGAATAGTTACTTTATTTGAATTATTTGAATCATAGTCGAGATTACTTTGAACTCTTGAGACTACCCAATTTAAGCGTCGTAGTGTTATTGTTAATAAATTGTATAAATTACTACTGTAAATTCTAAAAAAAATTGAAAATATTTAATAGTATTCAAGATAATAATAGATAAAAGGTATTAATTACTTATCACAACATGATCCTAATTCAAAAAACATAAGTACACATTGTAATATCTGGCTCAGTGATTTTCCTTGTAATCCTAGTTCTAATGAAAGACATAAAGCAAACTGTCTATCAGTATTTGGAATGTGATTTACATTGATACTTTCTTTTTCAGATACATTAACATTTCTAAAAACACAATATAAAGTAAATAATATAAATTTATTTTAATAAGGAATTTAAATTATGAAATACCCATTAACAACTTCAAATAGGAACTTTGATGTTCTTTCTAGGGTTTCAATCCAGAAAGTAGGAACATTACTTTCATCGACAAGAAAATGATCAGGAACACATTGCAATACTTTAAGTGAGTCGTGAAGCATTTGTGTACACAGATCAGAATTACTGCCAGACCGCCAAGTGCTTACTAGAAATCCAAATGAGAAGTTTAATGCTGTCTGTGTACCAATCTTAGCAAATAAAGATATTTTTTCATCATCTTTAGAGTTTCTAACATAAAATAATAATAATTAGCCTATAATTATTAGTAAATTAAAAATTAATTTAAAATTATATTAGTTAAAATATATTTTATTATTTATACTTACTTTTCTATTTTATTGGAATGTTTAGAACTTTGGTGCATTATAATTGATTGTTTATGGTTGTTTGACTTAGATTGAAAAAATGAATCTCTATAAAAAGCACCAAAATAACGTGATGCAATAGCCATTCTGAGCTGGGTTCGGTTAAAAAATAACGTCGAATAACATATATCTTCACAAAGTTTTCTTTGTTCAGCAGCAAACATAGATATCAATGATTTAATGTCATCTTTACCTAAATATTTAAAAAAATTTTAAATGCTCCAAAGATAAGAGTTAATCATTTATCATATTATTTTTATAAATATGAAACTAATGAAAAATATTCGCATTTACAATTTTAAATCCTTTATTTTTTGTGGTTTAACATATTAGTATATTTTACCTTATTTTACTTAAATAATTATGAAAATATTTTATTTTATTAGAAATATAGAAATAGTAATAAATAATGCCTAGATCTAATAATCCTAATAGATTTTTTATTACACTTTTTTTTTGTATTTTTAAAATGCTGAACAGAAATTTAAATTTAAATCCAAGAAACTAAAGTATATAAATATTATATATTTTAGATGGTCTGGGCACACTTCTTGCTCTTTTTATTTTAAATTGTATATATATGAGCTTTATATTGATATTATAACAATTTTTATTATCTATGTCTATATATCTGTCTATACTTATTTATGATGTCGATTTTAAAATTACATTAAACTAATTTATTAAAAACTAAAAATTTCATACTACAATTAGGTTTCCACATAAGAGATTGAAACAATTGTTTGGATTTTAATACTTCATTATCATCATCCAGTTTACAAGACATACAATTGCATTCTTTGTCAGATGGATCATCTTTACACGGGCAATTTACTGCCCAAAGACCAATATAATACCGTCCAGATGATTCTACAAAATAAAGGTATTTTGCATTTAATAATTATATCATATAACATTTTCAGATGGACACTGTTAAACCTTTTTTTAAATGTGACAAATTGCTATTGTCCACAGGTATCAGTTCAGAATCTTCAATCATCTCATTCCAATAGTTAGTGAGGCGTTTTTCATCTAACGCCTCGTGAAGTTCTATGCCGAGCCATTTGGGATCATAGGCAGTCTTCTGTTTTATAGTGAATTCAACTTTGGTACTCATTTTGATATTATAGAAATCGGATTTTAATCAACGTAAAAAATTACATATTCAAAGCACAACCATTGGTGTCTGAACGATTATAGACGTAGCATATTATCCAGTGACTTACAGACGACTACTGTACGTAATTATAAGTAATACGAATACGATTAAAACAATAACATAAGAGTAGATATAATTAATGTGAAACGATAGAAATTTTACGTGTTTTTAATCAAACAACTTTTAAATTTAAGCTTTTAAAAGCACGAAAACAATCATTGTTGCGTGAGTGCCGAACATCTTATCACGTTTAAAATGTTATCAGTAATCAAAAATGTTCAAGTAGCAATTGATAATGTTACCACCGTTGTGATATTACAACTACTGAAATATTCGTATCCTATGTCTCGTACTCTTGTTGCTTAGTTTGTTGGGCGACTTTTATTGTTATTATTTGAAATCAATACTCTAGCTCAGTGTTTCCCAACTAGTGTTCCGCGGAACCTAAAAGTTCCGTGAGCTTGCGCGAAGGGTTCCGTGAGAAATTTAAGAAAATATAAATTAATTAGCAATATTTTAATTTGACTTTGATTTGAACATAGAACTGGAATTGACACTTTTCCCGATATGAGGCGCATAGTTTGTAGCTTTTCGGCGCATACAAAGACAAAGAATAAGTTTCGAAATAAACTGAACGCGGCTTCGAACTTACGAATCTCATTTTTAGGAATAACTCCAGATTTAAAAACAGTTATGAAAAAAACTATGAAAATATTCCAATCTTCTCATTGAATATATCTTAGAAGTAATGAGAGACAAATATTAAATTTTATGCTTTAATATTACATTTATAATATTGTAATAGTAAAAAACAAAATAAAATGTTAAAGCCGTATTATTTTTTATATTAATGATACTCTTGTGCCGGAAGTGTCCGATAACCCACTCATTTAAGTGTACCAAACATTTGCCTGTATTAAAATTATAGAAAAAATATTGGGGTTCCATAAACCGTTCAAGCTTCTGCAAAGGTTCCGCGAGTAAAAGAAGTTGGGAAACACTGCTCTAGCTGCTTTCAACGACCTTTGTAGTCATTGTTAAAAATGTTGAACACCAAACGACATCAAAATGAGAGAATAACCGTGCGGCATACCGCCTGTAACATTTAAATGAATAATTATCATAATTATTTAAAGAAGAAGAAAAATGTTTATATCCTATGACATTGAAAAGTTGTGTTTTCACCGTAATTCTTAGTGGTTGAATTGTTGTATAAATTTTATATTTCCCTCAAGTTCGATAAAATGTAATAAACGTAATAGATATAATAGGTGCAACTAGAGGGGTACTTCATCATCCCCCCGTTCAAAAACACAATATTGAGAAATAATTAAAAAAAAAGTATACATGGGTAATTTATAAATAAGTCGATACAGATAGATTAATTGTTTTGTATATATCAAAAATCTGGTATAGACCAAATTCGTTTTTTATATTAATACTTTTGTTTATTTAAATACTTAGCATTATATAAAAAAAGAAAAATTGGAAAACAGAATCGATCATTCCAAAGTGAATGATTTAACAATTATGAATGGTTGGCAGTTGCCAAACTATTAATTAATTAAATAAATAAAATTAGTTAAATTATTAAGTAAGACTATTTACTTTAAGAAAAAGAGCATTCCCGAAACTTGTTAAGTGTTATAATTATAACATAATAATAGTAGAGGGGCACTAAAATTTCTGAAAATTAATAGGGGTACTCCATCCCCTTGCGTCCTTCCTCAAGTCGAGCACTACTTATGATTGGTGAAATACTGAAAAATTCTTATGGTGTAAATACAGTTTAATATTCTGATTTGTTATGAATTTTGACTCATATCATTGTATGTACATGAGAAATCTTAATATTTTATTTTAAATTGTTCTCTGTAATTGAAACTAATTATGATGTGCCTGGGACCATTTCTATAACATTAATTTGTTTTTGCCTGTTATGTATCCATGGGTATTATTTTATTAAGTTACATTACTTAAGTACAAGTATTACAACACTTAGGTCGTTTTCACAGACCGGTAAAACCTAACCCGGTGCCGGTTTCATTTCACGCACAGCGAGGAAACAGTTTTTGTACTCACTTAGGTGAAGTCGTGTTTTAGTTATTATCTCTGTTGTTCTCAACAATCTGTGCTGCTCTTAATAAACGCCATTTGTTTGGGTTACTGTACCTTCGAAGGAAGTACCGAAGATACAACATTAAAAGACGATATTGGATTCATCCTGAATTAAGTGTAAAGTACTTGGAAGGAATCATATAATATCAGTATAACTATTTTTAGGTTTTCCCCCCGGTACCGACAAAACCTGTGCTAACCTGTGTGTACACGTTTGTACAAGAAAACATTGTGATCGATAATCGGAGATCAGTCCGGCATTCGAATTATCAAATTCAACGCCTACTGCGAATTCCGGATTCGACAAATTTACCGGTCCGGTCTATGTGTGAAAGTACTAACTTAATTGCATTGCATCCGACACCGGCGCCGACTATGGTTCCGATTTTATCGGTGTGTGAAAACGGCCTTAGGGATGCAATTTATACGACACTAATTCCACTAAAAAAATCAATATAAATACTAGTGAATATTTTATGTTTATTTTTTAGATATATTATAATAATTATACACAAATACAAAAACCGTAATTTGACATTCTACTGTAGATATAGGTACATGGTTTTATGGTAAGGTTTTAGTATAATAATGTTATATAATTATATTTCATTATTATACGACAAAAAAAAAAAAAAATCAATAAAATACAATTTATTTACAATATAAGGTAATATTCAAACATATACAATATCTAAATAGTTACACTGAAAAATATTACAATTGTTATTTTATGAATATTTTAAAAGAAATGTAATTTAAATATTTTTATATGCATCCTATATTTGTTGAAAGTGAAACTGCACCCATCAAATCGATGATATCAATTAAATACATTATTTTTTTTAAAAAGAAGTGTAGTTTTATATGAATAAATATATAATCATATATATGAAAATACAATCACTACAAACTATTCACAAATAGGATAATATATAATACAAATTACTTCTTTTTAAATTTTTTTTTTTTAATTAATGATGGATGAATATATATATATATATATCAATTTTTTAGGTCAAAAATTCAAGAAAAGTTACGGGCAAAAATATATATTACAAAAGCATTCAATTGAAAAAATTATAGAATGCATTATTGCACTGTGGATCATTCCCAAACTGTCCATCTACAGGATTTTTCCGTTCTTCAGCCATTGGCGATTGCCTGCATGCATCTGCATACGTTGACATACCTTGATACTGAGGAGACAATGCCTGACGATCCCCATTCATTGGTAACATAATGTTACCATTAGGTTGTGGTTGTGCCTGTCGTTTGTACAATGGTGTGCGATCAATTTGATCAATATTTTGTTGTTGCTGAACAAGTGAATATTGATTACCTAATGATTTATACATATCCTCTGATGTTCCACCACTATCTAAATGCGGAACTCCCTGTGATACACACTTTAAATTTAGTTTAAATACATATTATTATACAAAAGTTGTAACTAACCTGTGATGAATTTCCAAACCCATTATGATTAATTTGTTGTTTTTGAGTTTGTTGTTGTTGTATTAAAATATTTAACAAATCATCAGGAACTCTATTGCCTATTTCAGGAGGTGGTACATTCATTTGTAATGGTATATTTGGTGGTGGTTGTTGAATAGATGACTTTTTGTACTGTGTTTGAGACCGCAATAGTTCAATAAATCTAAAATTCATACAATAAATATTATTGAAAACTTTCATTATAATGATTATAAACATACTTTTGACCCATCAGAGCACCACCATTATCTGTAAGGAATTTCAGCCACTCTACTTGTTTTGTTTGAGAACTCATCATTTCTTCTATACTTATGTTATGCGGTAACATACCCTACAAGAAGAAAAATAATTTTAATTGTTATTTAAATAAATATATTTTTAATAGAAATTTTAATAATTTAACTATATAAATAAACATATACAATTGAGAATACATTTAGAAAAACATACCTCAAGCATTGATCGATCATTGTTGCGTTGTGTTTGTTGCGCTGATATAGTTTCAGCATGTTTGTTGTTCACATCAACCATTGTTCTAATATTAAATGGTTGCACTAGTGAAGGATGTTGCATTGTATATGGTTGTATTGATGACATGTTTATTTTGTTAAATTGATCTTGAAGTCCCATTAAATTAGTATTTGGCACAATCATATTTGGAGAGGGCAAGTTCACTGGAGTAACTCCACTGGTATTTTGCACATATTGAAGATCAGCATGTCCATTTTGAACCAAATGCACTAGGTTTGGATTACGTGGAGGCACTAACCCAGGTGGTGGTCTTATTTCTTCTTCATTTGATTTTTGTATTGGTGGTTGTAATAATGGCCTTGGAAATATATTTGGGGTGCTAGATGTTGTTAAAGGGCCAAGTGGCCAAATTTGAGAAGGATTTATAATTGGTTGTCGTAAGGAGATAAATGTAGGAGGTGGAGGCTGAGAAATAGAAGGTATGTATAAAGGGAATGGGAATATAGGTGAAGAAAATAAGGGGGGTGGTTGAGAAAACCTTAAAGGTGGCGGTGGTATAGCAGCATTAAAAGTTGCTAAAGACTGTGGTATCTTAATGTATGACTCTTGTTGGTAACGTCGGGGAACAAATTCTGGAGCCAATGGATTCAAAACATATGTTTTCTTCAATTCAAGGTTGTCTAACAAATTTCTCAAATGAATCCATGTTATACCATTGAGGCTATGGTTTTCATCACAAATTTGGATGAACCGCTCCCAAACTTTTCTACATCGTCCAATAGAACATAATGCAACAGGGTCTCCAACTACTGCCACAAGACTTTGTGCACGGGTAATGGCAGTATTTAACAACTTTGAATTAGACAAAAATCCATAGTCCATATCATCCATGCCAAGCTTGTTTATACCACTATTAGATTTTTCTCCACCTCCTACATTATTGGCCACACAAGTTCGTCTAGTACGTACAGTACTAAGAAATATTGCTCTAAATTGTTTGCCTAAACATAAACATATGTATGATTAATTTTATTTATAATTTAAGATTATATATCTTTTTGTTAAATAATCTACCTTGTACATTAAGTACTCTTTCAACAGATATACCACCCATACGTCGTTTACGGAGTTCTGATCTAATCCTAAACACTTGATCTGAATAAGGTGTCATTATACCAATGGAATGTTCATCAAATGCTCCCCATGCTAGTGGCCAATTTTTCCTTAACTCCGATACCCGTTCAACAACTTCATAAACTTCAGCATTGTTGTAAAATGCTGTTGAATTACTATCTTGTATGTCTTCACCACGAGTTGTAAAAAATGTTAAAGGATACAAACTATCATGTTGTGGTTGATTGCCTTTACTCACAAGTTTTTGTTCATAAAACAATTCTGAGGTAAACTAATAAATTAAAATAAAAACAATGTTAAATAATTATTTCCATAATTTCAATAATGCAAACATACATGTATAATAGCTTCATGTGCTCTGTAATTTTCACATAATAATATTTTACAAGCAAATTGTCCAGGATAATGATCATAGAGCCGTTCTAACAGAGAAACATGAAGATTTCTTTCCTTGGCAAATTTGGAAAAAATTTCTGGACTCAACTAAAATGTTAAATCAATAATATTTATACAGTCATTATCTTACCAAAATATCATTTAAAATTACCTGCATATGATCTCCAGCTAAAACAATTCGAGTATCAGTATTAGCAAGTGCCAATGGCATAATGGCTTCACATTCCATAGCCTGTGCAGCTTCATCCAAGAGAATATGAGTAAAATGACCTTTAAAATATGTATTTTTAGTAAATGTTTAAAGCAATATTATACCATGAATGAAAAAAATTACCTTTTTTCAAACCAACAGAAGATAAAAACATAGAAATACTAAGCGTTACTACTATTACACGATAATTTAAGATTTCTTCAAGTGTTGGTAGTCTAAATGAACCATTTTGATCTAAAATGCAATACTAAAAAAAAAAAAAAAAAATACAAAAATTAAATATTTTTAAAATATTATTATGACACATTTTTTCCAGATATTTATTGATCTAAGAATAATAGTTTATTATTTAGTTAGCAAATTAAAAAATGGTTGGTAAATAATAAATAATACACAAGTATAAATAGATCTATTGAAATATTAACAACCTTTTAAACTAATTCTTGTAAAAAAGCAAAAAAATCTTAAATTAAATAATATATTACCACATAAATATATATTAAATAATTTGAGTTTAATTAGTCAATGTAATGAATCATTGTCAGTTCTCTGAATTTTTAAATTAATAAAAATAATTTTCATTAGTATACTTATAATTTATTTTTATAATTGTGTGTTTTGTATATTTTGATGTTTTTTTTCATATTGAAACTTATCTTAAAATGTCGCAATATTATGCAATAACACTCTAGACAAGAACTTTAATTTTTATTTTTTTAAATTATAGATTATATTACCTTTTGAACAGTGCTGTGAACAGTAGAAACCCAACGCTTATGGTAATATATTCTTAATGGCTTTGCTTCAGTATGCCCATCTTCAACATATGGATGTAAATAATCTTTTATATATAAATCTGCAGCACTATTTGAGTGTGTACAGACTAAAATTTTTGTATTATCTTGTAATAATGTCTGTTTTATTGCTTGGGCTAAAGTATAAGTTTTGCCTGTACCAAAAGGACCTAAAATAAAGAAAATAAATTTAAATTTTTGAAGACTGAAAATATTTTCTTTTAGAACAAACCAATAATTAGTATTGGAGGTAAACTAATATTTGTAGGAGTTGTGATTGCAACAACAGCTTCTTTTTGTTTAACATTTAATTTTTTATCAATAATTTCAGCCCATTGTTGTTTTGGACTCCATGGTATAATTGGTTCCAAAAATGTATCAGGAAAAATTATTTTGAAATCAGCAATATGATCAATGGCATAATGCCATTCACAGTATGGTATTCGATTTAATTGAAACTGTACATCAAATTTTACATTTGTATCTGCTTTAAGACCAAGACCAGTAACTGTATTAGCAGATAATCTAAGGTAAATAACATTTTTCCCTTTATCTTCAATTTGTGCTTCATGAACAGTTCGCTTTTCATCAGATGCCTTGGAGTCTAAAATAATATAATAATAAAATTTTAAATAAGGAAAACTCTGGGCATATAAATATATTTAATTTGATTACTTGAATGCATTTTAAAGGAATAATAAATAATTTAATAAAAAAAAAAAATAATAAGAACCGTGGACATTGAATGGTTAATACTTAATAAAAGGTATTGAATATCTTAGGCTGAATAATTAGACCTTAAATATAATACAAACAGTGCCGTAACTAGAGTGTCAAATACCCATGTGCAGACAAATGTACATGGGCCCCTCTTTCTTGAGATACATAAAAAAGTCGGACTGACTTCAGACTACGAGAATTTTTTACTCCTTAGATCGGATAGTACTTGTGGATGTATTGAATTTTAAAGAACCGATAGATAATTTTCTCGCTGAAACAATTCTATGTAAAGCTTCAACTTAGTAGGTACACAAGATCACAATTGTATATTGGGTAGATTTTATTAATAAAAAACTTGTAGAATAAACAACAAAGATAGATAAAATATATAACATGAATATATGATTATTGATTTTATAAATATGATTTACAATAAAATATAAAAGTATATATATAAAAGTAATCTATTTATGTCACTATAGGCTTAGTATTTTTCTCAATATTTAAATAAACAATTCCAAATAAAATGGACTAGACTTTTACATTTTGATATATAAAATTAAATACAAGATAATAATACAATAACCATGAATCAAATTAAATCAAATTAAAAAAAAAAAAAAAAATTAACTACTATCTACTATGGGTCCTTTGACCCTGCGGGCCCTAGTGCTGTGCACCGCCTGCACATATAATTTTTACGGCACTGAATACAAAATAAAGGAGTTATGTATTCTTGTACTATAATTTTAAGTTTTAAAACATAAAATGAAGTACTTTTTAAAATTATATGAATAAAAGCCATACATAAGAATAAAACAATTAATATATTTATAAATAATTGGTTATGCTATAATTTTAACTCAAAAACATTGCAAAAAAAATTGATAGAACAAAATCATCTATATTATTAACACAAGGAAACTAGCTTATGATTATCTTTGCATAAAAATCTTAAGTAATAAAATATAAAATTACTTATTTAACCAAAATCAAAATAAATGTTTTCTGAATAATATTTAAGCACTAAAAAACTTATAATATTTCTCTTTGCTCAAAATCTAAAATGTACTAAAATGAAAAGTATTTACCTTTAGACGGAGAAAGATAAACAGTAGTACAATTATTTAAAATTAATCTTCCAGCAGAAGTATCTTCAGAGACATCGGTTCCAAGTTGCAATAATGCAAACAACTCATTATTATGAGAGTATTTAGCAGTACTTGCTGCAACACCACTAGGTGACAGTAAATAACAGCTAGCCAGTTGAAGTTTGGCAGTTAAATTATATCGGGCCACCTAAAATTATTTTTAAAACAAGTTATTTAATAAATTGCTAGCAATTTAAAAAATTATAGTACCTGTTCATAACGTGCAAGTTCTTCAACATATAATAGTTCATGAATTCTTGCTCTATAATTGTTCTTAGTCAGCTTTTTGTCTGAAATTGTTGTGTGAGTCAGAGAAAAAGTTGAAGGGCAAGGTGCTTGATAACTCAATAATAATTTTTGCTCTCTTTCTCTATCATCCTGCACTTGAACAGGCCCTATCGATGATTGAAACTCCACAATGTTTGAATTTGCTATATTCCATCGTTCCATGGATGATAATATCAACTCTCTGTGAATTTCTTTAACTTTACCACAGTCTGTTACAGGTATAACATCTACGCAAAGATGTTTAACCAAAACAGGACCAAGACCAAAGTCAAATACTACTGCCTGTCTAAAGGTTCCATAAATATTGGTTGTAAAATAAACCTTAATTTGATGTCTTAATTTAGAAGACAATGACTGAGAAACAGGATGCTGTGCTTGAGATACCCACTCTTGATCATTGGGTGGTTCCATATCGAAAGCAACCTGTTGTAAACCATTGTCAACCAAAATATGTTTTAAAGAAAAATGGTTACGATAAGTGTCTTGAAGTAAAGCAACTGCTTGAAGAGATGAAGTTGTTTCTAACACAAATGTCCATTCACGATTACTAGTTTTAGATTCAACAGTAGTTACTAAATCACAATCATGAGTCTCGACAACACAGTCCAAACTCTCACGCATTATTTTTTCTGGATTTGTTGACTGAACCCATCTACAAAGTTATAAATAAATATTAATATTAATATTAACAATACTTATATCAAAAGGTATTTTTTTATAAATGACATACCTTTCTAATAGTTGTTCAGTATAAGATTTTCCATACAGTTTATTTTCACTTGCACGTTGTAGTTTCATTCGCCTGTACTCAAATCTTTCTTTCCATTCAGTCAATTCTTCCAAACCATGTGCTTCAACACACTGAGCACCATACTTGCAAGAATTTTCTGTTCCTTCTCCTTCTGAATAAGCTTCACATAAGCTAAAATTAAATATTGTCAATAAATTGAATAATACTCTTAATATATATTTTCATACGTATAACATTCCGAAGAAAAACCACGTGGTGGTGGTCGCCATTTCCAATCTCGTCCTTCATCAGACATAATTACTGTTTGATGGTTTTCAGTAGCACAATGAGCTCGAAGTTGATTTTCTAAATGGAATGATATACCACAATATGTACAAGAATACCTCATTTCATTTTTTTTTGGAAACTTCAATTCTGCCTGTTTATCTTTTCCTAAAAGTAATATTATTAATTAAAATCTAATTTCATTAACTTATTCATTTTTTAATCAATAATTTAAAATAATAATACTATTTCAGTTTTATAGTCTTTATGTCACTAACCAATTATTTTTAGTAGAAATGTTTATAAAATTTATATTTAATTATATTTTATAGTTTTTAAACTATTAGACTTCCTAAGGAAATTGTTACATTCATACCATAATATATTACTTTTTTATAGCTTATAAATAGGAGTAATTAACAGTTTTTAATTCAAGGAATAATTTTATTTGATACATTTGATTCAACTAAATTCTTACAACTACTTTATTTTTTATGGACATCATTTAATTTTCTTTATTATAAAACATACATGAACTAATACAATAAAATTATTTTCTGTATTATATGTAAATAATATTCAAAAACATTATAGATAAATTCAACTTATATTAATATATTAGTTTAAATATTATTTACAGTTTTTTACAAAATTTTATTTTCATATTACTTTAACAAAATTATTTTTGTTGTGAAAACACTAATTATTAAAAAGGTAGTGAATAATTTTATCAACCAAATCCATTATTCTAATAAACATATAAACATTTTATACTCAAAAATTATAATTTTATATAACATTTATTTTAATAAACATGCATCTAAATGTCTAATAATATAATTATAAAATGTGTAAAAAAAACTTTAAGAACTAATAAATATAAATCTTATTTATATGTATTACTGAAAAATAAATATAGAAGAAACTACTTAGTTAACCAAATGCTATTTAATAATTTTACTATAAACATTGATAAAATACTCACTAGATTCTTGGAAAACTTCTGTGACTTTTGAATGATAATTTGTCCTTAAATCATATGATTCACCATTATGCTTTGCTATATTAGAATATGCCATCCCATTTTCTTGACCTAAGAAGAAAATAACGTATAAACCAGTAATGAAATAGGCATCATATGTTGTAAAATTAATAGATATATACCAATTCCATTGAAACGCTCAAAGAATTGAATATTTCTTTCAAAATTATGAATACCATTATTTTCATTACTAGAAGGCTCGAATAACTGACCGCCCAATTTATCATCATCGACCAATTCAACAGGATGTTTCCTATTTCTTCTACTTTGTTCCCTGACTCCAGTTGCAATCCAAGAGTCTAACCTGTCTCCAAATAACAGATCTTCATTGATTTGGTTCAACTGATCTTCCAATGTCTGGACTGGCGTTGGAATATCTTCTTTTGACATGCTCCATACTAAACGCACGGTATCCAACATTTTTTTAGCCTCACTGCTGTTTTCAGATCTGACCACCCACTCCAGAGCAGCCTGTTCGGCCTCACCATATCTCTTTAATGCAAATAATGCGTTGACCAGGTTGCGGCGCACGCGTGAGCTGTACGCGTTTTCATCATCGGTCAGCATGGATATGATGTGTCGACAGTCGTGAATGACATCATCATACTTCTTCAGTTCCAGACTGCACTGGGACCGTCCCAAAAGGTAGCCGACGAAGCGCTCCGACGGTAGGCTTTTGGCCACGGCATTTTCCAGCAATTGGTCGAAACAGAAAAACGCGTTGCTCCATTGTTTGTGGTTTAGGTACTCGATGGCTCTGTGTTCAACCTCGGCGAAATTGGTATCCATGTATGAGCAAGGATGAACGGGTTTTGGATGTCAATTATCATACGACCTATGTGATCATAGTTAAAATACGACTGGTCGTACGTAATACAATTGGTCATTTAGTTCTGGACGTACCACACATTTAGGCGTAGAGAAAACATAAACAATGGATAAAAACTTCCCTGTTTCGGTTATCACTTAAATTTTTATTCTTATCACCGTAATTTTCTTTCCAATTTTATTATTATTGATGTTTCGGAAGCCCAAGGAAATTGCAATAACATTCCCATAACCATGTTCCCGATTAACCCGTTACCAACATCTGACTGAACTTACCGAACTCGTTTTCCCGCTCATTTGGACACCGTAATGATAAATATTATTTTGGATTTTTTTCTTTTATATTTTCCTCGATCCTTGATATAATGATTGTTATAAATTAAATCTCACGACTACTTGTTTTATTCGCTTCGTTCGTTAACTTTTCTGTTTTCCCGTTTTGTACGAAAATATTTTATAATCACATTGCCACTTAGGTATTTTTTGACGCGCAAAAAGCTTATAGTCTTGTAACATTCACTAAAATTGTCACCCAGTATTCTATTTATCACACCATATCACCAGTCTTAAAATGCCCCAGCTCATAGGCGATTACGAGCAATCGGCACTTGAACGGCCGACGTATAACTTCAGAGACTTATCGTCAGTGTATCACTTGAAAGACGTTAACTTTACCAGACAGTTTGCGCATATTTATGCTTACAGACTAGTACAAATGAGAAATATCCTTTTGGACAAGGTACAACAAAAATGGGGTAAGAATGCTTTTTGATTTCATCTTGTTCCTTACAGTTTTTGAAATAAATATTGGCCACATTTATAATATCAGAATTTTACAATGACAGTGTGTACTGTTGATATATTCGGATTATTCTTCACCATCTTTGATCAATTGTTTTTTTCAAATGTGTATTAAATTTGAGTTGTCTATTTTTTATTTAAGTATTTGTTGAATTACATGATTTTGGTTCATCTTATATAGGTGATGAAAGTTATGTCTATAAATTATCTGAATTGCATGATAAAATTGGCCAAGAATGCATTATAATTGGTACTTTATTTAAACATCAAGAACTAAAGCCTAGTATTTTGAAAGAAATCAGTGAAGAAGTAATGTTAAATTTGATTCTGGTCAAACAAATGTTATGTGATAATTATTATGTCTCTTTTAGAATAATTTAATTCCTCAACCTCTTAGAACCCATTTTGTTTCTGATACGGATGAAGTTATAATAGAAGACGAATTACAAAGAGTTCCTTTAGAACTAGATGGACTAAATGACAATACTTTATCTCTAAATAATATAATGACTGGATGCATTATAGCAGTTAAAGGTATTCCTCAAGAAAGTGGAAAGTTTTGTGTGACTGATTTTTGTTGGCCTACACCTTCAGCTCCTAAAATATTCACGAGCCGTAGCTTTGGAGATGACAGGTTTGGCTTTCTTTAAATACTAAAATAAATTAATAATTGGAATAGTTAAGGATACTATTTATATTAACTAACTTTAACTAAATCAATTTTATATTTCAACTAATTATTCAACCACTTAATTATTAATATCATAATGACAATAATATTTTTTAGGTTTTTGGTATTAATTAGTGGTTTAGAATTAGCCACTAATGTTGCTACACATTTCCAAGTACAATTATTTATGGATTGGATATTTGGTTTATTAGGTGATAAAAAGGAAAATTATAAAGTTTCTAAAATTGTTCAAGTTATAATTGCTGGTAATTTTTTTATATAATAAATTATATGTAAATATGTACATAATATGTATTGAAATCTAATAGGAAACAGTATAAGGAGTACTGCAATGAAAAAGCCAAATTACCGTGATAAAATTGATGATTTTCCTAGAGATATACAAGCAATTAAACAATTAGATGACTTATTACTCCAGTTAGCTGTAAGAATATTTAATATAGCATATATATATATATATATATGTTTAATACTTGATTTAATTTACTAGTCAATTGTTGATGTACAAATTATGCCTGGAGAATTTGATCCTACAGACAGAACTTTACCTCAACAAGCATTCCATAAATGTTTATTTCCTAAAGTAAGTATTAAAATGATTATAGTTTGATTAAAAATATAGGAAATTTGTTGTGTACTTTCTTTCGCTATAGTTGATGGCGTCTTTATGTATGTTCAGAAAATGAGACATGTAAATTCGTTCAACATATTATTGCTCCACACCTCTAAAATTAGACAGTTCTGGTTTGGTTTTGAATGCAACCAGAATTTATATATATTACCGAGTTAGTGTTTGTCAATTTGTAGTTATTATGGCAAAATCTATTATAAGAACCTTATAAGTTGTAAATGTTTATATATCTATATTTATGTTCACATTTTTTTAAAATGTAATACCATTAAATATTTTTCTTTGTTCTTTAGTATTCAGTTTATAATGCTTTAAAAAAGTATCAGGCGGGAACCCACAGAACTCTTAAAGAGTGTATTATGTGAATTGCTGCCTATTACACCATTTCGCATTATCCACAGTTCCCCTTTGAGAGCATCTTAATAAAGTTTTACTATATTTTTTTTTTTTTTGTGGGATATCAATAACTGAATGTTATTTATCTAATTTGGAAATTGAATAACTTGAATAGTTAGTTAAAAAATAGTTCATTCATTGGAATAAAAATGTTTTACTAATTGGGCATAACTAATTAATTATAACCAAACTATTAACTATCCTTAACCAAGTATATTTTGAATAGGCTTCTGAATATACAAGTTTCCATAGAATGACAAATCCAAATAAGTTTGAAATCGAGGGTCACTTGATGATTGGATCTTCTGGACAAACTGTTCAAGATGTTCTTAGGTTTACTAATTTAGATAACCCAATTGATATAATGGATAAAATATTGGATTGGGGTCATCTAATACCATCTGCACCAGATACAATTCGTAAGTAAAATTTTATTTAGTGTAATATTTTAATGTGTGTTAAATTTCTTAAATTAATATTTATTGTTAATTAGCATGTTATCCATTTGAGGGTCAAGATCCTTTTATAATACAAGAAATGCCAGATGTATTTTTTGTATCAAATCTAACATCATTTCAAACATCTTTAAAGTTAAATACTAATGGTTATTATTTTTTAAACTATTATTTGATCATATTAATATAATACTAGCATAAAATATTTTGTTTTTATTTATAATTTCAGGGAATCCCACTCGACTTATAAGTGTACCATCTTTTGCATCAACTCAAACATGTGTATTATTAAATCTCAACACTTTAGAATGTCATCCTATTTCATTCAAGACATTTTCCCCTTAACATTGTAATTTATTTTATTTTATTATTTTTAAGTAAAAGTAGAAAAAATTTAAACGACTCATTATAAGAGGTTCAGCAATTATATATTTATACTATTTGCACTTAAAGCTAATTTAATTTCTTCAGGTTTCATAATATTTAATATAGAAAGTGCAGCAATAAGCTGTTCCCGTGAACAACCAATGAAGTTATGCTTCAAGAACACTGGAAATCCACGATAATGATCACCCAATGTGTACAAGGGAATCCGGACAGTTCCAAGCACCTATTAAATAAAAAAATACAATGTAAATATTTATTGTTAAATACGTAACATTATGAATTAATGTAATTACTTCACTCCCATAATCTTGTGCAAGTAAAGCACGTTTTTCAATTTCAATTAGTTCAGCCATAGTTACTTTTAATTTATAAAAGTGTAAAACTAATTTTTTTTTCTCACTCCAATGAGATATAACATGATCATCATTGGTAACTGAATGAAGATCAGTATTTAAATTTATTTCTTCAGCCATTTCTCGGTTGACTGCATTTACTATATCTTCATTGGCATCAATCAATCCACCAGGAAATCCAAAATAACCATCATATCTCAATTGCATCTATATCATAGAAATGCAATGTAATATAAAGTCAAAGTATTTATGTTTTTCACACATTTTTTTTTCTACTTACAAGAATTGTTGCTCGAGGATGGTAAATGTTGAATACTTTTTTACTGTTTTCTGCATAAATGAAACAATGAGCAGCTTGAGCAAAGCATGCATATTTTTCATCTTGCAGTTGAGATTTAGGTATTTCTATAAACTCATTTAATTCTGAAATTCTCCCAAATTGTTCAGTACTACCTAACCACCCCCACGTATGATCACCATTAGAAGTCATCACTGAAAACAACAAGCAAATATAAAATATTAATTTTTTTTTTTAGCCCAAGTACACTTTGCAACAAAAGTTAACTTTATCTTATCTAGCATAACAATATATTAAGGTTAGCAACCATTAAAAATATACAAAGATATTATAAATAATGTTCTCATATTTTATCTTTGACATTGGCAATAATTTAAATAATTAGATTAAGAAAAATAAGTTTTTATTTTAATGAGATACCTAAATTAGTCAGTGTTTTCTTATATACCTTTAAAATATAAGTTTCATTTATTATATGAGATAAGATTATTAAAATAAGAATTAGTGAATACTAATGGATTACATTGTAGCTTATATTTTAAGAATCCCACTATTTTTTTTTTTTTATATATATAAACATTTAAAATACTAGCAAATTCAAAATAATTTCATTGATCTAACAAAATTCTATAGTCAAAAGTATTGTTAATTATGAACAGGTATCAACAAAATGTTATCATACTTATTATGTTATTATATAATATAATTATATATTATATAATGTTATTATAAATATTTGTAGTATTAAAAAAACCAAATAATAAAATAAAAAATAATTTATAAATTGAAAAATACTTATTAGAGGCTCCAAAAACTTACTTGAAATTTCTTCAGAATTTGTAGTTGTCGAGAAACAATTTTCAGGAGGTCCTAAATAATCTAAAATTAAAAAAAAAAAACCTACATTAAGTTGTATGAATAAGACTATGTAAGATTTTAAATAAACACGAACAAACATTTCTTTTATTTTTAATAGATTAACTTTTTTATATATAATTAGTGTGATATTGAGCATACACACTTTTTTATTTCTTAAATTAGGCATTAGTTTACATTTCGATTTATGGCGAATTATGTGTACTAAAAATCTTCCAAATACATAGATTTCTCATCTTGAAAGTACAATAACAAGACATTTTCATTACAATAATCATAAATTTGGAATTATTCCAAATTATGACTTACATCAAATATTTCGAACAATTTAAATGAAATAATGAAGTAAATAACAAAAGTTGATTAAATGACATACTCTTAGACCAGCTTTTATCAACCTCTTTAATGTTATGTTCTCAAAATAAGTAGCAAATAAATTAGTCGCCTCATGATACTGCAATAGAAACTAATTTAAGCTTTTATCTGTTTTACTAGTTATAAAATATAATTACCATTAATGAAACAAAAATATGAGATTTTGAACTGCAAGATGAATTGAAAATATTTTTTTGTTAAGATTAAAACACCTCATTTTCAGTGTATATAAAGATAAAAAATTATTAATATTCTGAGCTTACTTAAGTGATATATTTTTAAATTTAAATTACTTGAATATAAATTTACCAGAACATGAAAAGAATAATCTACTAGTGGAAGACAACAAAGTTAATGCTTTTAACAAAAAAACTGAATACCTATATTATTCACCTTGAAATATTAAATTTTGATGTATTCGTTTTAATTTCAAATTACATTGATAAAAATTTTAACTATGTCCTATTCTTGATTGTGTTTTGAACACCACAAAAACACAATTGAGAGATTGAAAATTCAGTTACTGAAATATTCCCCAAGTGATAACAATAACTTCCCTTATAGATGGGCTCTTAATCCATTTAATGAAAATATAGTTGCAGTTGCCAGATTACCTGTTGAGATTCACTACCAACCCTAAGAATTATTAAAAATAAAACATTACAACTTCAGTTTTCATCTCATGATTTAAATATATTTTGGTTCACTAGACGAAATTAGTACAGAAATCTAGTAACAGAGGCATTGAAAACATTTGGTTCCATTTGCCACTTCCTATCTTATAAGACACATGCATTTTTTATTAAATAAAATTTCAACAAACACAAAATTTAAGCATAGAGGATTAAGAATAATTAAAAAAATCAAGTATTTACAAATACATATAACGATAATCATAAATAATGCAAATCAAATGTAATATACTAGTAGAAATGCAAAAGGTGGTATTGCCAAGAATTCAAAAATCGATTCTGAATAGAAAAATAGGGTAAAATCAAATTTATAGTCAAAATGAAACTATATCAATTATTTCTATGAGTAAAATCAATTTAAAAACAGCTGTTTAGTGCATAATAATATGTCTACAAGATAAAAGAATTTTTCGTATTTTAATTGATTTAATTTTTCAAAATGTGATACTGTCAGCAATACCACGTTTTGGCCTAACATGAAATTTTTAAAGCATTAAAAACTAGGTTTAAAAATTAGATAGATTTATTTTAACACTGTCAAACGTTTTATTTATATTTATTATGTATAAATAAACTTATCCTGAGTGTTTATAGTTGTCAGAAAATATATTACAGCTTTCCTTGATTTGTGAACATTTCGGTTTTTGGCAATACTATATTTTGCATTTCCGCCCTTTAATTATCACTTGATGATATTAATTAAGGATAATAAATATTAAAAAAAAAGCTTAAATTACTTATATTTTATAAAATGTATTGAATAGTTAATGCTCACCAATTAAATTTATTGATGGAATAGCGTTAGGTTTTAACTGCAATGAGTTTTTATCATAACAATCTTCATGAAAATGATTTTTACAAATGGTAATATCTAAATACAATTCCAAATCATATAATGTACTTAATCCAATTCTTTTAGACCATATGTGTAATAAATGTTTATTATTATAGGGAAATCTATAAAGTGGTAGATCTTTTGGTGCTTGGCAGGTTTGAACAAAGCAACCTTGTTCAAAATTCCTAAAAATAAATTTATATTTTAGATTTTTAAAACAAAATATAAAAACATGTTTAATTTCAGTTTTCGATTATTTTATACCCATAACAATAATAAATATGTAATTTCCGGTTATACAATTTCCGTCAATCTAATTAGCACTATAGTAATATTTCATTATGTAAAATTAAAATTTAGGCTTCTAGGTCAATAGTTAAATTATACATTATAATTAAATGAGTATACTTAAAAGTTATAACAAAACTCTATTAAATATTGTTAACTGAGGAAGAAGTTGAAATAGTATACAAAATGTTAGGTCTTTGTTTATTCACTTTTCAATGTATTATGGTATAGCCCAAATGCTTTTATTTTATTTTTATTTTTATGAAAATCTAACTGAAAGCTTACTCAGAATTTTTCAAAATTGAAAATAAATCTTTATCTACTTCATCATTTTTCCAATTCAAATTATACTTCTTAAAAATATTTTTTACTAGCGTATAATCATCTACATTCAGTATAGATTCATTATTAATACTACCTTGTTCCATATCTATATTAACAGAAACAAGAAAAATATATACAAAAAAAAATCAACGAAGCTTAGTAACAACCAAAAGAACCTTACTTATTTAATGTAATAGGAATTGTTTTCTTGATTCCCTTTTGCAACCGTTTAGTATTTGTATGATCTAAGTTATTAGATTTTCTCCTGCAATAATAATTAAACCATAAGTCAAAATAACAAAAACAGAAAATGGTTTAAAGGAGGTCTTTTAGTAATTGAGTTTACTAAGGTATTATTATCAAGAAAATCAAATATTTGATTATATATATTTGATATATTTTTTCAAGATGTTCTAATGTTGGTTGATAATTGAAAACGTAAATGAAAAATAAAATGAACACGCACTACGTAAAAATGCAGAAATTCAGAATCAATCTCAGTGGAACTGTACCTTTAGGAATAACTACTTACAAGAAGTGTGTTTGGCGTATGGAGAACAATATCAATCAAGTAGAGGTGTTCTAAATTTAGTTGTTGAAATAAATGAATTTTCATTTGGCAAAAAATAATGCTGGACATATACTAGCATAATAGTGGAAGTGTGGTAGTATATGCTGTGAAACTAAGGAATGTTTCATAGTTTGTCTCAAATTGATCAGAAAGAATATTGATGACAACCATTGACCAAAATATTAGATCTGGTTCTATAATTTTTTCTGATAGGTATCTGGAAAGCTTATGCTAATTTTCAATATAATCAAGTAAATAATAGATAACATTTCGTGGGTATGGCCAAATGGGGAAAAAAAATTGTTAAGTAACTGATAAAATGTATAGACTTACATTACAGCATTTATATAGCCATCAAAGCTAAATAATAAAGATAAGTTTAAAATAATTTTAAAAAATATAACAAAATAAAGTACTCCATCTTAATTTTAATATTCACAATCATTATTTTTACTACTAATTTGTTTATGTTAATATATTAAATAAACTTTTTTGATATATATTATTATTATTATAATTATATGTAATATATGGATTATTTTTGGATGTTAATAATAATAAAAATGAATTGACATAATATATTAAAGATTATGGACGAAAGGGATAACATACCTATGGTGAATAGACATAAAAAAAAAGTAAATCATAAAACTATGTCTCCTCATCATAAAAAATCTCAAGAAAATTTGTGTGCATCAACAAAACTTTATAACAATGTTACCAATATATATAACTTTAATATAATTTAAAATTGTATAATAAAAACAAGTTTCTTACTATTAAAATTTAATTAACCATGATCTTACTTAATTATAATTTATTATCAACTATTACTTTAATACAAGTCATAGTTCATACAAAAATGTGAAAATATTTATGTAAAAGGTTGAACCTTAAAATATAAATGAATAGTCAAATTATAAAAAAATTATTCACTTGTTTTATCCCAAAATATCCTCAAACAGTAAAATTTCATTTATTTAACAATATACCTAATTAAGAATACTAGGGCAATACATAAAAAAAAAAAATCCTGTGAAAAAGAATGTCTAGTCACCATAAACATATCTGAGTAACAAAGCAATACATTATATATGGGACCAGTAACAATCCAATACTCAAAAAAAAAAAAAAAGAAATATTATACAAATAAAAAGAAAAAATAATATTTTTATATTAAAAAAGCCGATATTTTCAAAATCATAACCAGATATAATACACATAAATCAGATTAAAATTAAACCATTCAAGATTTGTTAGTTTATATAAAGGTACAAAACACTGAGAGTGAATTTTTTTTCAAAAATTTTCAATAGTTAAAATGTTGCAGGTATTTAAAGGCATATATTTAACCAATCGCTAGTTGCACTATAATCAAAATGGCCCCACTTTTTTTACATCTTTAATAAAATATTTACATTTAATAAACTAATAATTGATACTCATATAATATGAGTCGATAATATACAATTAATCATGTTTAAAAGGTACACAGAATGTCAATGAATGAAGTATAAAATGTAAATGTTTTATTAAAAACCTAATAAAGAGCGAGGTTATTTTGACCATAGCAAATTACTATAATCAAATATAATGTTTGAAATGGATTAAATTAAATTTAAAATAATGTATCTTAGTTTGACATTTTATAAGAGTTACACTTAAAAAATTAAGATATATTGTATTACTATGATTATTAATGTTAAATTATTTTTTATTGACATGAATACAATACAATTTTTCATTGTATATGTAGGCACCTATTGGGATATGAATAACAAAAAAATCATTATTTTAATTTTGTATTCAAGTAGGTAATAGGTTTACTTTTTTTTAAATACTGCTAGTGTTTCATTAAGTTAATTTTTTTATCATAATACTGCACCTCACTTGAGTATTCAATAATACAATTGCAAATTAATATAATATAATGACAGTAGAATATACTCAATATATTTTATAGTACTCACTTATTATTGTTCATTGAACATATTTTACGTTTTGAATCGTTTAGCACTGAACCGCATAACAAATCTGTGAATGAAACTTCAGATGGTGATGTTTGGTCACTATATTTTTGAAAATGTTTGCTACACACTACACAATTTTCTGTCGGTGTCCAATTTTCGATTTCTAGGGCTTTAGACCACCTCTCAAACGATTTTGAATTGTGCAGAGGGATCCTGAAGCATTAATATCAAGAATTATTACAACTTGTATTACTTCATATACAATACAAATATATAAAAATAAACAAAGATCACTTATATTACACAAATTATGTGCAATGAATATCAATATAAAACTGTATTTGAATTATTTTGGGATTTTCCGTTTATTTATATCTATTTCGACGAAAAATTGGTTTTAATCATATGAAACACATTGATAAGTAACAATTGTTTAATTCGAAGTACTTTAAAATTAAAATGTACGTTCAAATGTAATTAAATGTCTGAGAATTAGGTATATTTGGACGGTGTTGGTTAAATGAGAATAAGTAATTTTAATATTTATGTTTTTACACTTTGTTTTAGTAAATTAAATATTAATTGTATAGGATATATCATGTTATATAGTACTATTGTAAATTATCCTCATGTTTCAGTAATATTCCCGTTAACGGGAGTTAGCACAAGGTTAATTTTGCATAAATTAAATTTAAATACATAGGAAATTTCAAAACTTCTAACTTATTTCATAGATGTCAATTATAATATTAAATTAATAATGTGTCATAGAACATATTTAACAAGATTTATAATTTTTGAATCAAGATTGCCAAATAAAAAAAACTAGTTGACGATTAACAAATCCGATTCTGTATTAAAAAATTTCATAAGTACGTCCGAGAACAAACGAATTCCATCATTTACATAAAAAATGATGAGATGTGATTATATTACGATGAAAACTATTATTTGTCTACAACTTACCGATAGAAAATAATCCCATTGTCTTTAATTAATTTACTGTCACAATTGGGCACTGAACAAGTTTGAACCATACTAATAAATTATAAACAATTTTCAACATAAAGGAATGATTATCATATATTTATATACGTTATATACAATTGCGATAGCAAAAAGAATCGTACTGAATAAACAATGTTGTTTACCATCGATCGACCATATTTTGTCCACAAATCTGGAACGAATAATCAAATATTCGATGTGTATTAATGTGTACTGTTATCAGCAGTAGTATCGTTGTTTTAGTACAAGTTTTACAGATAATGCATAAAGCCGGGTTAACCACGAGCGGATCAAAACCACCCTGATCCATGCACATTATTATCAATTCAATTTCGGTTGATGCTCTTATCATTTCACTGTATTATCTATATTACTGTAATATGTACAAAAAAATAATTATTATTGTTGTGTTACCGTTTAGTTCTATTTTATATAATTATTAACTCTATTGTGTAATATGAATAAAAAAACAAAACAAAATAGCGAAAACTGTTGCCATAAATGTAACAAAAATAAATATTAGCTAACTCTTTCATAAAAATAGAATTATACTATTAATTTGATCATTTGATTTATTATTTAATATCAAAATTTGATTTACTTATGAACTCAGGTAAATGCATTAAATATATTTAGAAAAAGTATTATTTATCTAGGCATTTGAATAATTAGTACATATTTTTCAGAACATTGACTTTCAAGCCCAAGTAGTAATTGAAATGTGTTTTTACATTGTACACTTTTTTCGTGAACCCCTTATACAAACTAATATATAACACTAATATGGACTAATATAACTAATATGGATGTGAGGTGTGGCCTTTGACAAGCAAAATGGAACAAAAACGTCGTTCGAAAACAAAATACTGAGATTCATCTACGGCCCAGTATACGACAATGACCTGGGGTGTTGGCATAGAAGGAAGAACAAAGAAACCCGAGAGTTGACAAGAATAACAAGGATAACCAACTTTGTAAAGGCCAAAGAATATAATGGTTTGGGCACGTGATGAGAAGGTCTAACTCAGAGTACCTTAAAACGACAGCTGAATGGAAACCCATAGGAAAAAGACCAATAGGACGTCCAAAGAAGCGATGGATAGATGGAGTAAAGCAGGATTTAGAGAAATTAGGGATACCAAATTGGAGAGAAAAAATACAAAATCGAGAGAAGTGGAACATTGTGAACAAAGTTTAACATTGTGTGTATCGATTTACGTTTGCATTAAAAATTAATATACATGTTAAATTACATGTATATGTTATGCCGAATTTATGAAATTACCGATTTCATGAAACCAGCAACGTTATCACCGAAACATGAAATCGGTAAAGCCCTTCTTAAATAATTATAAAGCAAAATTTAATTTAAATAAATGTGTAAAACATCAGAAATATAATAAAATAATAAATACATTTTAATGTGCACAAAAAGGAAATAAAAAAAATTGTATTATATTTAAATATTTTGGCAAGTATGGCCTGAGTTACACGCCGAATTACACATCATATTATTTTTTTTACATGTGCACTTTTTAAATATGCAATTCGTACAAGTACTTCAATATATAGCCAATCAATAGCCTTGTCCGGCCTCAACTGACCTCATTCTAACAAGTTCCCGTAATCAATATTAATTTTGTTGAACGTCTGCAGTCGTCAGGGAACAGTACTTTGTAGCTGCCAAACTGTTCCGCTCCAACCATGTGCTTAAAACCCCTTCTTTAGTCCCAATACGAAATTTGTTATCTTTTTTTCTATGATAATTGCAAGAAGGTTGGCTGGATCACCTCGCCCTCAATCCACAGACGGGATTGACACCAGTACATTGTCACCGACTTTTAAAGGAGAGAGGAAATTTTCAATTACTTCCATAAGCCACTATTTGTAAATTATATCATAATGATGTGTTACCGAATTCGTGCAATCGGTAGAAAAAGGCTGCCTAACTCACGAAATCAGCAATCAAAATTTTCCGATTTTGTGAATTTGGTAGCCAAATTGCCGATTGCACATATTTGGTGACAATGTTTCATGAAATCGACAATTTCATAAATTCGGCGTAACATATACAAGTATAATTTTGAATTATATTTTAACACTTTTTATTTCGAAAATGTATTATAATATTTTAGGTCCATTGAGAGCCTTGGTACTGGTTTATTTTCGTGATACTTAACAAGGTCTAATATCTTTTCGCTGTTTCACTTTTATAAATTTAAATTAAATTAATACAAATAAAACACTTTTCATCAAAATAATTCTGTAAATATAGAATGATCAGAACAATTCGTTTTTTAAAGAAACAATTATTTAATGTTCGTCGAAATACCAACACGCATGTTGATGAACGGCATGTTTATATTGAGGTACTATAGGCAGTGCTCGAATTGGGGGGTGCGCTGGGGGACGTAGCTCCACTACTATTTTTTTTTTTTTGTGTACCCCAACTATATTTTTTCACCGGAACGGGGAAACGCCACGTTCATCTTAATTGATGTCCAAAATAATTTTTATGTGAATTTCAATTTACGTCAATTTGATAACGAATTTTACGATTTATAATATCGAAAATATTTTCATAATTAAAGATTATATGGTGGTTATGATATGTGACAACGTCATTATTTTTGAAGAAATATAAATAGCAATGTCTGTGAATTTGGTGTATTATACTTTATACATTGTACGGATTGTTTGTTAATATTAGCGATCGACGTTATTGTCTTTTTGGTAAAAATTAAATGCCACAACTAATCTTCTAAGGCCGTGGCCCGCACTAAAGAGTAAAAATAAATAAAAACAAAAACAAAATATATGATTATATCATTCGATTCATGAGACTGCCTGATCGCCTACAATTATGTTAATTATTATTTTTATTTTCTATTGTAAAATGTAGGATGTTGGTATTGCTATTAAAATATATTATATTTGGAATTTAAATATTAGTTTAGCTGAAAAGTGGCATTCAAAATATATGTAAGGTTGGCGGAGGGGGGGGGGGGGTCAGGGACAAAACCCCCCACGGGTCTATGTTAAATAATTGCGCACATAGAACGCAGTTTTCAAATCGTTGGACTGAGCTCCCCTACTTAATTTTTCACAATTTGAACACTGACTATAGGTACGTGCCTACAGCGGCGAATTTGAATAATCTATTTTGTTATTAATTATTAATAAAAAATTTATAAATTTTAAGAAATTGTATTTAAGTAACTAATTAATATTTATATAATATATTAGGTAATTAAATGATACTTCAGTTAATGCAGTATATTATTTTAGTTATTTAGAGCGACAATTTTTCATAGGCCTACATGCGAGAAACATTTAAATACAGATCTAGGACAGTTCGCCGCGACCTTTTCGCACATGTTCTATGGCTTAGGTATTTTGATATTTTTCACAACTTATACTAATAACCAGCGATTGTAAAATGCGTCCAAAATACAGGTAAACATAAAATCACACATGTAAACTGCGCCCGGGTAAAATTCCAGGGAAAATACTTAATTCGTTACAGCCACATAATATGAAAAATTAAAAAAAAATATAATTTTAAAAGCAAAATAAATACAAATATTATAAATAATAACATAGGGTGGATACATATTCCTCAATTGGAATTTAACCACTATTATATTTATTAATTAAATTTTCTAAGTTTTCGCGTTTTTTTTTTGTTTTAGAGTTTTAGAATTTAAACGGTTCATTTATACTATTTAGTTTAATATATACTTCTATTTAAATTTCTTTTAACTTTTTTATGAACCTGAAAGTATTTGAAAGAATTGTATAAAAGCTGGAATTAAAGTGAGAATGAAAAGACTTGCATTTGTGGTTAATGTTGGTTCTGCTGATACTTGAGCCCATACTTCAGGTGAATACTAAGCTTCTTCACCTATAATACGTCTACCAAATAATCCGTATATCGTGTCACTTTTTCGTTGTCAGAATACACTTCCTGAACTTAGAAATGGTTAACCGTAACATTAAACTAACCATCTTCTAATATCACTATTTTTATTTTTATAGTCATTATTTAAACCATTTTGTTGGATACTTCTATACCAAGATTGTGCTAAATGAAAGTGACATATATAGAGACTTTAATAAGTCAAAATTTAATAAGTTAATAAGTCGTGCGTAGTTTACACTATACCGTTTTAACATATATAAAATTTCGGGCACAGTTTACAAAAAAAAAAGATCATTTGGGCGCAGTTTACGTATGCCCCCAAATAACGGTCAAATCTCATAATTTGAACTATATATATGGGTAACATCAAATTAAATTTTCAAGCAAATTCTTTGCCAACCATTTACCCCTCCGAAAAAAAATATATACATTCCCCTTACGGATAAATAAACAAATTAATTAGTTATTTACTCCTATGGCATACCGCCATGGGTGTACATTAAAAATTTATTAGGGGGAGGGGGTAAATATATAATTACATTTCTAACGAAAAAGGTGTCCATGACCAGGGTTGGACTAGCTCTATAGCTCAGCCCGGACAAAATAATTTCGAACGGCCTCAATGGAACTATTTAAATAGGTACCTACCTACCTAATCAAATTATTGTTTAACTGAAAATATATCTTCGTGACTCAAAAAGCAATATACATACAGGTACATTTGAATATTTTTAGATTTAATATTATACCTTATATAAATCTAGTTTACGCATAATATATCTCATCGATATATAATATAAAAGGATAAAAGGGCTGAAAAAATACGGATCAACGCTGTGGCGTATTTCAGTTTTTGATAGGGGGGGCAATATTTTTGATCGGCCCATACTATCGGGGGAAATATGGAGTTTCACTCACACTTTTTAACTTATACGTAAGTTACATATTTTATATATTATATTATTATACAACTTAAATTTTTGAGAAGTATAATTTTGTATTTTATAAACATTACCTTAAACTTAATCCTAAATTAATCTAGGCTGTAAGCGGATATCTTCTATTTTTAATTTTTGAAAATACATCTACTACATCATCTAAACTTTTGCAGATAAGAATTCAGAATTCAGTTTGAAATATTAAATAATCAATTTTAAAATGACTATAATGATTAAGGAAAAACAATAAATAGGGACTTTTGAAATTAAAATAATCATAACTGAAAGATAATTCATTAAAAAATCTAATATTCTTGTAAAATGCTCATTTGTCTATTTATAGTTTATACCAATTGACAATTACTAAATATTGTGGCAATAAATAATTATCTAGTACACAGTATTTTCAAATTATAAAAATACGCTTGATTTTTCACAAATAACGGCTTATGGTTAAACGACAACGACCGTCCCTTTGGGATGCTTTTTAATCAGACAGGAGCAAATGCCCACCTAGCAATCCCCCAAATGACGTCACTGGCTCAACGTTGATTAAATATATATATTGATATTTCCGTGGTCTACACTAGCGTTTCTCAACCTGGAGATTATATCATTCGGAAATAATAAAACACCGTTGTAGAAAAATAATCTTTTATTTACATTAAAAATAATAAAATAATACATAACCAGCGGCTTGCGAAATACACTTGGATCGTTGGTGGTAAAAAGAGTATGAGAAATATCTGATAAGAACATTTCTGGACATTATTCTTTGCAGTTCACAGACCATAGAGTAATATTACTCTATGCTAGAGTCTATAGTATCTATAGCAGGGGTCGGCAATCCGCGGCCCACGGGCCGTATGTGGCCCGCGAAGCAATTTTTTTATGGCCCGCACAAAGGTGGTTAATTTTTGTGTTTTATTTTTGTTCAATAAATTTTTCATTCAATTTTCAATAATATTCAATTCTTTTTTTTTTATAAATAAAATTGTTATTATTATCTAATCGGAGTCGAAGATAATGATGGCTGGACTACTCTAGGGTGGCCATTCGTCCCGGATTTCCCGGGACATCGATTTGTACCGGTTTTGGACTTTTGCATACTAATGTCCCGGAAATTAAAATCATTTTTAAATTGGTATTTCTTTTGTTTACTTGGTTATCGATTTTATTTTGAACAAATCCTATTCGTAAATTATTTCGATAACGAACGTCGGAATGTACGACAATCACAGTTATAATCGCTTTCTAAATTTAGCCAACTTACTGCCTTTAACTTCATTAATTTTTAATCGGGAAAAAACCATAATATTACGATACGGTTACGAAAGATAATATTACAGAATGTATAGTTTACCTTTAGTCTATACATTATACATTAGTTAACAGTTATTTGCTGACGATACAAGTTGTACACGAGTGCAAAATTTATCAACAGCTTTGTACGTATTTATAATTTACAGTGTTGTAATTTTATACAGTTCATTTTTTTACGTAACGACTATTCCGCCTAAAAGACTGTCATTTTAACGAAAAGTTGCAAAATGATTTCCCATTTATTAAAAAACTTAAATCTACTGACGATTTCTATGTACAGTGTACAACTTGCCATGGAACTTTTTCAGTAAGTCATGGTGGACGATCGGACATAAACGATCACCTCAAAACGCAAAAACATAAGTTAACTACAAGATCATCAGTTCAACCTGGTAAAGTTTCCAACTGTTTTTCTGCTTTGGTTCCTACTGAAAATGATTTTTTGTTAGCCGCCCGCGAAGCTACTTTTGTGTATCATACAGTAATTCACAATCACAGTTTTCGTTCTATGTCTTGTACATCGGAATTGATTCGTCAATGTTTAAACGACAAAAAATTCACGTGTGCAAAAACAAAAACCAAGGAAATAGTTGTCAATGTTATTTGCCCATACATAGTTGATAATACTTTAAAAGAACTATCTTTTGCGAATTATGTATCTGTTTTAGTTGACGGTTCCAACCATAAAGCAATTTAACTAGTACCTGTTGTTGTTCGTTATTTTTTGCCTCATGTTGGTGTGAAAAACAAAATACTAGAGTTCTCAAATTTACCCGGTGAAACGTCTGATTTAATTACTTCTAAAATGATTGACGTTCTTACTAAATTCGGACTAAAGCAAAAAATTGTTGCACTATCGGCTGATAATACAAACACTAATTTTGGTGGATTAAATAGAAAAGGAAAAAATAACGTGCACACAAAACTTCAGATAGAATTAAAAAAAAGATATACTTGGATTAGGTTGCAACGCTCATATCTTCCATAACGCTGTACAAATCGCGTCAGATAATTTACCTATTGACGCAGAAGCAATCACAGTTAAACTTTTTGGATATTTCTACATTTATACGGTGCAGGTAGAAAAATTAAAAGAATTTTGCGATTTTGCTAATGTCCAATACCGTGAAATTTTATCACATGCCAAAACTAGATGGTTAACTAGATGGTTATTTAGTCAAAAAAGAAAGAATTTGATATAAATTGTCAAAAGTTTTACGATTTATGTATATCATATATTCAAAAGTGGACATTACCTAACCAGGCACTGATGGTTGAATTAAATTGGTTGCACTTAACAAACAAAAATACAATAACATGGAATAATGCTAAAAATACAATAAAGATGATATCAAAATATGTTAAGGTTAATGAAGATGAATACTTTGATAAGTTTATATGGCTTTTATAAACATTATTCAAGACAAATTTGATGACTGGACAAAAAATGTTATTTCAGTAGAACAAAAATGGGTACAAATATTTAATATATGTAAAGAAAAAGATGTAAATGTATCAAATCTTACAATGGTTGTAGAGTTTGCATTTTGTTTACCTGGGTCAAACGCGTCTACAGAGCGAGTATTTTCTTTAATGACAACTACTTGGACTGACGTTCGAAATCAAATGGATAATAAAACAATAGAATGTTGTCTGATAACAAAAATATATGGCTTGAGTTGCATTGAATTTTACAATGAAATAATAAAAAATCCTACTTTTTTGAATAAAATACACATCACTGATAAATATAAGATCTCCTTGGACGACAAAAATAAAGAAAAATAATAAATCAGTAAATTTTACCTAGATTAGTATATTTATCTCAACGACTGGAAATTGTATTATTATTTTTATTTGAATTTTGAGTGTAAATTAAATAAAGATGGCCTATCTAATTGATTAATTTGAATATTATTTATACCTAAAAGTTATATACAAATACCTATGTAATTATATACTTACTAGATAATTACCTATTTTTTATGAATTTTGGTGTCCCGGATTTCTAAAAATTAAATCTGGCCACCCTAGACTACTCAGTCAAACGATAAATTAAATATAATTATATATGTTTAAAAATTAAAATTTTAAATATATTTAATCTATGTATTTAATACATATGTATCTAATATATTTAATCTATGGTCATAGTTACTTTGCGTTTATAGCAATTAATATTACACCGTGATTACGCCCGTATGTGCGACTGTTTGCGATTGTAATAGTTTCATTTTACAAGTAAATTCAAACATTATGGTGACTAAAAAAAGAAGAATTTGTGATAAGCATCGTTTTTTAATAATTCAAGGGTTGATTTATACTTTGTCGTCGAAAACAAAGATAAGCCATTATGTTTAATTTGTCAAAAAATAAAATTTTTTCTTAAAAGCAATGTTTTCTAGTAAAATTCGTATTTTTTACATTCATATTTCTATGTAAAATAATCAAATATAATAGCAATACAATTATTAGTATATATCATGTATAAAAATTTTTTTTTAATGTGGGCCTTGATAGACATTTGGAAAAAAAATATGGCCCGCGTGGTTCAAAAGGTTGCCGACCCCTGATCTATAGTATAGTCCGTCGCACAACCATCTATATTCATGATAAAGATTGAAAACCACTAATAAAGATATTAAAGATCTTAGACCGTGGTATCTGTAACAACCTTGTTAAAAGGTCAATGGTTCAATCGTAGTTAACGGTTTAATTTTCTATCACTTCTTTTTTATTGTCAAAGATAATAATAATTTTTCAAGGAACATATACATCTTTGTTTATCTCAAAATTTTTTTTTAAGCGGTAGTGCGGTATAATCGTGCTGTACTGATTGACTGATTCGTTTCTATCGAATTTCATTAGGCCCAAATTTTTACTTATTAAGGTTTTCATATGATTCTTTATTAGTTAAGAGTATGCTAACATTTCGTACTAGTTAAGTAATTTTAAGTTTCTTGACTATGGCCTTTTCTAGCGATGAACTGAATTTTCTTGTTTACCGATATCTACAGGAATCTGGTATGTACGATAAGGCAAATTCGTTTTTGATTATTTATTTACGTGTTGATTTTAATGAGTACGATTTGTATACATTTTGTTTAGGTTTTCAACATTCCGCTTATACATTTGGTATTGAATCACACATCTCTCAATCCAACATAAATGGTGCATTAGTTCCACCAGCAGCTTTAATTAGTATTATACAGAAAGGTTTGCATTATACTGAAGCTGAAATATGCGTTGGAGAAGATGGCTCAGAACAACGTTTAACTGAAAGCTTGTCATTGATTGATGCAGTTATGCCTGAAATTGTAGCTAGTCGACAGAGTCAAAATCAACAGAAACAAATTGTGGTAAAAAATGATACACAAGAAACCAATGGTGAAGAAGGCACAGCTACTGTAACTCCAGCTGTAACTAGCACTGAAACAATGGAACTCGATAGCAGTATTGAAATTCCTGCTGAAAAATCTACCATTCTTAAGGGTCATGAGTCTGAAGTTTTTATTTGTGCTTGGAATCCAACTACTGATTTACTTGCTTCTGGGTATTTTTATATTTTAATAATTTTTATCTGCTTATCCATAAATTTAAAATTAAAGCTTAAAAAAAAATTTCTTAAGAAAGTTCTCTTTCCTTCTTTAAGTTCAGATTTTAACTTTATGTTTTTCTTTTTATTTGCCACAAATGGAATTAAATAACAAGGCGTGTTTTTTAATAAAACTTAAATAATATTAGCATATATTATTAAAAAATAAACAATTTAAAATTTATTTATGTAATTAAGAAAAATCTAGCAAACAATAAAGAGAAAATAAAATGTTTGATAACACAATTAAACTTGTTAATACTTAATGCAATTTAATATATATTTCAACCTTAAAAACTATACATCACTATAATTTAAATAATATTGATATTTATTCAATATTATGGTTTGATAGTGACTTATTTTAGATACGTATTTAGTCTTGCGATTTGTTGAAGATGGTATTAAAAAAGCTGTATCTTAGTTATTTGGGAGAGTATTGGCCCCAGACACCTATTAAATGGAATGTAATAACAATTTCTGCTAATATACAGAATAATTATTAATTAATAATATTTTATACAGTATAATTCGCTTAAGATCCTTTCCTTCATAAAAAATGGGTTCTGCCAATCCTTAAATATTTCATATGATAAACAATACAAAAACCACCTGTTTAAGTTCTTAATTTTTCTCTTTAATTAGTTAGTATGCTGTTTTGTTAAACAAATTATGGTAATTTAGTTATTACAGCTGTTACTATTTTGCAACTTCTATTTAAATTACAAAAAGTAGGTTAACCTTTCTCTAATGAAAGACTTACTCAAAATTCTAAATTTTATATATTGTTATATATATATATATATATATATGATTAAATAATTTTGGAAATAGTTTATTTGAAAAAAAAATAAAAAAATGTTCAATTATATAACCAATACTAAATAATATATAAGCTTGATATTTTAACCATTTAGGTTTTTTTAATAAATTTCTGAGTTAGATACTATTCCACTTTAGACATTCTTTTGTGCTAATTTCTTAAATAGCGTCTTAAGGGAATTTTACTTTTTTCTATTATAAGATTTTTAAAGGTTTGATAGAGGAAATAGTGAGAATGAATATTAAACAAAATGTTTCTTTTTAACCATTTTTAGGTTTGCCAGGCTACTGGTTTAGGTGCCTACAACAGACAATCATTTTAAAATTTTTAAACTTAATATTTTAATTTTTTGAAACTTTTCAAAAATATTGATTGTGCTAATTATTTTATTAATAATTACATTTTGTAAACCTATTTTAAAGTCTTAAATTTTTTGCTTTATTTTAATATAGAATATTCTATATCTTGTGACATAAAATGTGTTAATGAGTATGGCAATCCAATGAATATTTGTTTAGTTAAAAAATTACTAATGGTTCATTTAACAAAAACTACTAAAAATCAATTATTATACTGTATATTTATAAATTGTATTATACATTTCAATATAATATTACAGTAAGATCTTGTAACAGAATTGCTCGGTATCAACAGATTTTTCTGTTATTAAGGAGTTTATGTTATAGGGAAACTGAAAATGACAATAAATCTAACAGTTTTAATATCCATTTAATCTTTATAATACTATTTTATATTTTCTAAAAGTCAAATGTACTCTATTTAATAGATCAGGAGATAGCACAGCTCGTATCTGGGATATGGCTGACAGTTCTGGTTCTCCTTCTCAACTTATATTAAGGCATTGTATCCAAAAAGGAGGAACTGAAGTACCCAGTAATAAAGATGTTACTTCTCTTGATTGGAATGTATGATTTTATTATTAATATTCAATTTTTATTAAATTCATTCCATTTCTAATAATAATAATAAATATTTTTGTTTAGTGTGATGGAACTCTATTAGCTACAGGTTCATATGATGGATATGCTCGGATTTGGATGACAGATGGTAGAATATCAAGTACTCTGGGTCAACATAAGGGCCCAATATTTGCTTTAAAATGGAATAAAAGGGGAAATTATATACTTAGTGCTGGAGTAGATAAAGTAAATAAATGTTAATTTTTTTTATTAAATGTTCTTTTACTTTTTTTTTTTTTTTTTTTTTTTAGACTACTATTATTTGGGATGCTGCTTCAGGTCAATGTAACCAACAATTTGCATTTCACACAGCACCTGCATTAGATGTTGATTGGCAGACCAACAGTAGTTTTGCATCATGCAGTACTGATCAATGTATACATGTTTGTCGTTTAGGCGTTGATCGTCCTATTAAATCATTTCAAGGACATACCGTAAGTTTTTCTACTAAATTTATTACACATATGATATCAAAACCTTTTTTGTATTAAAGTGTTATAATATACTATAATATTTCGTATAGCAATAAGAACAAATAGAATTTATTTATACTCATATATTATTTTCAAATACTTTAGAATGAAGTTAATGCTATAAAATGGGATCCTCAAGGAAATCTTCTTGCTTCTTGCTCTGATGATATGACCTTGAAGATATGGTCAATGAAACAAGATACTTGTGTGCATGATTTGCAAGCACATAACAAAGAAATATATACAATAAAATGGAGTCCAACAGGGCCTGGTACAGCTAATCCAAATATGAATCTCATACTTGCTAGGTAAGTTTAATAAAAAAACTTAATTATAACAAACCGTAAAATTGTTTTAATAAATAATTCTAACTAGTGCTTCATTTGATTCAACTGTTCGCTTGTGGGATGTTGACCGTGGTATATGCATCCACACACTAACCAAGCATACTGAACCTGTCTACAGTGTAGCCTTTTCACCTGATGGAAAGTTTTTGGCATCTGGTAGTTTTGATAAATGCGTTCATATATGGTCAACACATGTAAATAATTTTAAAAATTATAAAAAAAATTATATTGAGCTAAATTTATTTTTTACTATTTTTATACAGAGTGGTCAGTTAGTTCATAGTTATAAAGGAACTGGTGGCATATTTGAAGTTTGCTGGAATTCTCGGGGTGACAAAGTTGGTGCAAGTGCATCTGATGGTAGTGTAAGTATAATTACATTATTATATGTTCGTCATAAATATTCTTTAAAAATACTAGTATTTTCAAACTTAAATATATCTATATAACTATTAAAATAAATCTTATATTTTATAATTTTTAATTATTGTTACAGGTATTTGTTTTGGACCTACGGAAACTTTAATTCTTCTTACTTTTAAGTTATACCTACTTTGGATATAATTTTCCATTTGTTTAGTAAACAAGTGAAAAATTACAGTTAAGTTAATCATTTTTATAAGTTTATAACTATGATATTGTATCAAAAACTGGATACATTCTTTACATTAATATATATTACATTTTGAACACACAGTTGATGAAAATTGCTTTATTCTACCAATAGGCTCTCATTTATTGGTATAAATTAAATTTGTGTATGGTTATGGCATTATAGAGTTGTTGATTGTTTACTGATTAGCTGGCTCTGGTTAAGCCACTTCTCTAGAAATTAGTTACTCAGAGATTTGGTGTACTGTGTTTTTACACCTGACATGTAATTGAGTATTAAAATTAATAATTCAGATAGCATTAGATGCTAAATCTAACCACAAAAATATAGGACATTTTTATTTATTATACAAAAAATTATATAATGCCATTTATTATTGTTTATTTCTACGTTACTAGTGGTATATAGGATTCTTGTCAATAATAACTGACTATGAATGCATTATACATTGTATTATAAAACAAAAATAATTAATTTTTTTATGAACAATTATGTACATTGTGGAACTGGGTTGATACTTTTACACTTAGAATCAAGTATACTTTATTATGTATACTTTAAATTAAATTTATATTTTACCTAAGTCTAGAAATGTTTTTTATAATGGTAGTTAAAATATTAAGCAAATACATTATTATTTTTATGCTGTAAGATGTTATTATATTATATATTTTGTCTCAATAACTCGTATTTGAAATATTTTGTTTAAATTTTGCTTTCAGTTAAGTGAAAGTATAAGAATAGAATAATTTTCTATTGGATATTCATTCATATAATTTATTTTAAAAACTTTTTGTATCTTATTATTACAATTTATGAAAGATAAATGTTACGATTGAGTTTTACAGAATTTTTCAAATAAAAATAAAATACATACATTTCATACATTTTAAAATCAACTAGATTAAAAAAAAAAAAAAAAAAAAAAAAAAAAATTTATTATTAATTAAAATAATAAATTTTTAAATTAATAAAAAAAATATTTAAAAAAAAAAACCACCCCTAAGAAAAAATAAAAAAAAAAAAAAAAAAAAAAATTGAAAATTTGATAGGTACTCACAAAAAAAAAAATTATCAAAATCAGTATTAACACCAGATGTAGAAATTTAAGAACTATAAATATTAATAATTTATAGAAAAATGTAACAACAAAATAAAATGTAAATCATTCGTAGTTCCTTTATACATAAAATTATATTATTCAAAATACGTAGCAGAAATTCATTTTGTTTGTATGATTATTAATGATTGTCACAGTCATAAGAACAACTTGGAGTATACAGTATAATAAATGGTTTTCAGTAATAATATTGATGAATAACTTATAGGTGTTCTCTACTAATAAATTAAATCATTGATTAAATTGTGATAACACCATCACTAATTTATAATTGGATGAAATAATACATATGATACAAATAGAAAGTGTCTACTTAAGATAAATCTGGTGGTTTCTTAAATTATTTTGTATTAATATTATGTAATTGTAATATAATTATTGTGATTACATTTTTATACAAACCTGTTGAAACAATTTAAATAAATATGTATTAAATCTAATATAAGTAAGGTAATTTCAGTTATATTTAACTGGTACAAGAAACTATGAACTGTTTTCACCTTAATTAAATACATAAAACAAATGGAATATAATAAAAAAAGGGTTAAACCAATGAGGGAATTTTGACTTCTAAACAAAAATACATTTTGTAATTTTTCTAAATTATGAGACGTCATTCTTCATGGAAAATAATACCTTGTCTTAACATGGCTCTGTTGATTACAGTTTCCAAGGATATATCATAATTTTTAAATACTTTAATTTTTGATAAAATTAATCAATTAATTCTGTTTTTTTTCTATTGAACCAACAGTGTGTTAGGGTGGCGTTTTTGTAAAATTGCCTTCAGAATCTACATTTTTAACAGTAATTCGGGTATGTATTTCTGGATTGTTAACACATTCACAGCTACAGCATAATTTAGAAGGACGGTTAAAAAAAATTTTTTAATTACCAAATGACTTTTATGTATGCATCGTGATAATATGGTACACATTTGTATTTTTTGAAGTGATGTCAACTATAATTGACATAAAGATCGTTAGCATCAATCGTCAAATGAATTATTGCAAATACGGTAAAATTGCCTCTGATGGATACCTCTAAATACCGGACGTTTTTCCGAGAACAAAATACAAACTCTACAAACTGATCCCTCTTAACATATAATGAATACTTATAAATAGCTAACAAAATATCAGCAATCTAGTGTGTCCGGTATTTAAAGATTTCACTGTAAATCAGTGCTCGAATTGTTTGGGAGGGTGCGCAGGGGGGGGGGGGTTCCTCTATTTTTTTTTTTTTTGCGTATGCTAACTATATTTTTTCACTGAACGGGGGACACCAAGTTCACCATAAATAATGTCCAAAATAATTTTTATCAATGTGGAATTAAATTTACGTCTATTTTATAATGAATAATATGATTAATAATATCTAAACTATTTTTGATGTTCGTTTATTAACACGATAAGCTGCGCTAGTATTATCACTTACCAATTCCCAGTATATGTTAGTCGAAATCACGTTCCATCGACTATTTTTTTTGTAGTGAATATGCAGCTGGGGTATAGATAGAATCGTGTGCTACGCAAACACGTAATACGCGTCGACCTGACGACCAGCGCTTAACATACAAAATATTTAATTAGTTAAATAGAAAATTAATTCGAATGTGTGGTAAATATAATATTATTAAAGCTTATAACCTATATAGGTACATGAGAAAATATATTTTCATAATAATTTATGGTTATGGTGGTTATGATAAGCGACGGCGTCATCATTTCAGCAAAATATAAATAGTAATGTCTAGTATATAGTTATAATTTGGTATTCATTGTATGGTTAATTATTAATATTTGGAATTTAAATATGTGTAGTTAAAAAGTGGTATTCAAAATAAATGTAAAGTTGGTGGAGGGGGCAAAATCATGTTTATTAAAGACCTGCAAGGGTCATAAATTTACGGCCCAGCCCGGTCCAACATTTTTTTTCTAAAGCCCGGTCCAACTGGTCCAAAAAATGTTTGTGAAAAAAAGCTCAAGCCTAGCCCAAAAATCATCAAAAGCTCTTAAAAGCCCGTTTTGGTCCAGATATTTTTTATAAGCCCAGTCCGCGCAGGTCCAAAATATTTATTAATAAAAAAAAGCCCGGTACGGTCCATTCACAATATTTTGAAAAAAAAGTCCAGGCCCGGCCCGAAAATAATTCCAAGCAATTAAAAAAATTTGATTTTGTCTGATATATTTTTAGCTTTAGAACATCATATTTAACTAATAACTATATAATAAAACATTTTGGGAATAATAATTATTCATGTACAAAAATTAAATCTACTCCTCCCTAAACATTATCAAATGATGCCACTAGAGTTAGATAAAAACCAACTAAATCAAACAGAAAGTACTAAATATTTCTTATTGAAAACCAAACACTAAATATGAAAAATAACCAATAACCACACAAAGTACATCTAAAGATGATCAAAAATGTTTAAAAATTAAAATATTAAGTCGGTAACACATTCAAATTGGAAATAATATGTCGACTTTTATCCTGAATGGATGAATTATAATCTTTAATAGGCACTTATTGAAACCTTATTTCTTATAAACCATAAATATTAGACTAAGTAGTAGCATTGATTAAATATACATATATATTTAATCAATGGTAGTAGATAGTAAGTATTAGGTAAGAGTTAAATTCAATGTTTGGATTTAAAAACTTATGTGGATACTGGGTGCTGTGCAATAGTGTTAAATAGATATTGAGTATAAAGTGTCAAGTAGGTACCTATACTTTAAAATAAGTAATATATATTATATATTATAGAATATAATATTTCTAAAAATTATAATATAGGTAATCAAATAAAAAAATAATATTTAAAAGCAGTCACTGTTTATTATTCATCAATATTATTTAATTACCCATTCATTATAATCTTAAAAACAAACTGTTATGATACCTACTGTAATTCTTTTAACAAATAATTAAAACAATAAATTAATTATTATTTTTTTTTTTAAAAAGATGAAATAAATATGCATGTATATTGTATATTTTAAAAAGCTATAGGTGCTTCAACAGTTTTTTCTTTAATATTATTACTTTTTACATAATAAATAATGATAAATTAGTAAAGCAAAAAAAATACAAATTTATGTTGAATACGTAGATAAAATTAAAAATCTTACCTTATAATATCGATTCAAACAAACAAATATAGGTACGCAAAATATGTTCAGTGGTACACTAAAGATGTGATTCCTTAGAACGCGTCTAGAGACGCGCGACTGACGCGACTCGACTCTAATTTTGGCCGCGCGGTTGATAGCGGATTCCCTAGAACTACAAATCGCGCCGCGCCGCAACAAATGGCCGAGTGGCACATATTTTGATATCGGGTTAAAGCGCGATTCACACTAGTACGACACGACATGGCACGACACGATACGACAGACAAAAATCATGTTCAATTCACACACGACCGACAAAAAACGACAGACACGCACTCAGTTGATTCCAATTTTCGTGTCCAACGGTCGGAAATTGTTCTCAACATGTTTCGAAATTTAAACTTTGAAGATTTGGCAGTGATGGCGTTATTATTGCTCGACACCGACGAAGAGGAAATTGACCGTGCGGTAGTCAAAAAACGATCTATATGGGTTCACATTTTAAAAAAAAGAAAAGTAGAAGGAGAACATGCAACTTTGTATAAAGAGTTGAAAGACTATGAAGACAAATTTTTTAAATATTTTCGAATGTCAAAGTAACAATTTAATGTTCTACTTTTAAAAATTGAGAGTAATATTTCTAAACAAAATACACACTTTCGAGAAGCAATACCTCCAAAACAAAAATTAGCTGTTTGCTTGAGGTAAGGGAATTAATATTTTTATCACAAAAATAAACAATCTAAAATACATACATATTTATAAATTTATTATAATAAATATTATAATTTATTATAAATTATAAAAAATTTATTAATTAAAATATTATATTAAATAT